CGTCACCAGAGCTCCGCTTCCGATGTCGCCTCGTCGAGGCCTTTTACTGGCTTCACGGGGAGCTTCCCGGACCCGCAGAGTTTTCCACCAAAAGAACCAAAGGAACCTGTACGAAGAGCGACGTGGGCGCCGGGGAAGCGTAACTCGACGGCCACGATTCTGGAAAATATCGTCCCGGACTACATCATCAACTACATCAGGGGAGAGACGCCCGAGACCATGGCGCAGCGGAGAGAGGAGCGCAAGAGGCAGACAGAAAGCCCAGACACGATGGAGGCACAGGCCGCCGCGGCGAATCATGCGGCGGCGCAAGGATTTTACGACGAGGCGACCACGGATCGGCCGTCGACGGCCGAGAATGGGATTGGAGACCTCGAACAGATGCTTCCGCCGGGCGAGAAGCGCGGAGGCGGCGGGACCTTTAGCAGGATGAAGTCGGGTTGGAGGGCCGGCATCGCGTTGAACATCATCATCGGCTTCGCCATCCTCATCGTCGCCATCGTGTGCCTGGTTCTCGCACTCGTCGTCGTCGGCATGGTTAGGGGTGAGAGCATAATCTTCAAAGGCTCCTGCGCGGCAGCCGACCAGCTCAAGATTGGGCTCTTCGTCGCTATCAATGTCATTACCATTGTGCTGCTGTCTGCCGCCAACTACGTCTTCCAGGTCCTGAGTAGTCCGACGCGCATTGAGATCGAGATGGCGCACGACGGGAGGCGTTGGCTCGACCTCGGGATCCCTTCCTTTAGAAACCTGCGTTTCGTCTCGAAACCGCGGGTTGTCATGACGGCCATCATTATGCTGGCGGCCGTCGGTACTCAAGTAATGTATGTGCGCTTGCTGCGAACATGCTGCTCTAATTCTCGGCTGACAGGCCTTGACTGACTTTTTTCATTAGTTATAATGCCGTAATCTTTTCGACACAACCCGGCTACGCTCACCAGGTCGTCTTCGTCACACAGGAGTTCCTTGCCTCGGGCCAGTTCAGCAACACCTCAGAAACCAACGCCGGCGGTCTCTCTAGAAGCGACATCCTCGACCTCCAAGACCTGGCGTCCCGTAACCAGCTCACCAACTTCACAAACGCCGAGTGCGCAAGGGAGTTTGGCGGCGTCTACCAAAGCGACTTCACCGCCGTGGTCCTCGTAACGGACGTCGTCGCCCCCAGCAACGCCCTCGTCCAGACCCAACCGTCCGGCTCCTCTCTCGCCCAGTTCATCAACCCCTCCGACCCGTCGCAGATCAAGATCAACAGCGCCTCGGTGGACTACTGCCTCGCCCGCCTCGACACCCACAACGCCTGCACCGTCGTCCTCAACGGCTCTCTCCTCGGCGTCATCGCCATCCTCAACCTCGTCTCCGTCTCCGCCATCGGCGCCGTCTACTTCTTCACCGGCTTCGAGCCCCTCGTGACCCTCGGTGACGCCCTGGCCTCCTTCATCTCCCAGCCGGACCACACCACCCGCGGCATCTGCCTTCTCGACAAGACGGACGTCAAGCAGGGCCGCTGGGGCTACCGCGAGGCAAAATACTGGACCTCGCGAGACCACTTTTGGTTCCAGACCCCCGACCTGACCCTCTGGACCGTCTGGTTCCTCACCTGGGCCGCCCCAGCGGGCCTCGCGGCCGCGGCCCTCGGTGTCTCCCTCGGCAAAGCCCCGTCGTCCTCCCTCGGCGCCTTTGGCAGCGCCCTCCCGCACGAGCTATACCCCCTCCCCGACGGCAGCCCCCGCGCCGGCGTAGCCATCGTCGCCGCCCTCCCCCACCTCCTCCTCGCCGCCCTCTACCTCTCCACAAACGCCCTTCTCTCCACCTACTACCTCTCCCACGAGCTGAGCCAGTACGCCCTCCCCGGCATCTCTCTCCCCCTCCGCGTCAGTTCAGGCCGCCCCCGCGGCACCCAGACGACGAGCCTCTACCTCACCCTCCCGCGTCCGCTCTCCTGGCTCCTCCTCGCCCTCTTCGCGGCCCTGGGCCTCGTCCTCAGCAACGCCGTGCCCGTGGTCTCGGTCGACATGCGGCCCGCCACCCGGGACGACCGGTTCCCGGAGCCCATCAACGGCGTCGGCTTCAGCGGCGTCGGGCTGCTCGCGTTCCTCGCGCTCATGGTCGTCGTCGTGGCCCTGGTTTTAGGCCTGGGATTCCGGCGCGCGGATCCTTCGCCCACGAGCGTCGATGGCGAGAAGGCGGGGAACCCGCTCGTGTTGCGGGGCGGGAGCTGTTCCGCCGTCATCACGTCGCGGTGTCACCGGCCGCCTAGCGACGTCGGGGCGGCGCATCGGAATGTTGCGTGGGGTGTCGTTGACGAGGAATCCGACACCACGTTTGGGCATGCCACTTTTACTAGTCAAGCTGTGAGCGTCTTGGATCCTGCCAAGGGGTATGCTTGATAGGGGCTGTCTTTGGTTAGCGTGCCCCTCGTCATGTCTGCTGCATTTAGTGACTAATTGCCTCCGTTTCGAATTGCTTGCATGCTGGTTTTTTTTTTTTTTTTTGGTCTATTCCCCATTCTGTTGTACATATTCTCCTGGGTTCTACACTGCCCATTGTTTTTAAGTCGGGGTGCATTTAGTTTTGGCCGCGGTTTCTTGTTCAAAAGTTGCGTCTTGGAAAGCATTTGAACGGTGTTAATTGGGGGCTTGTTGTGCTGTGGTGTTGGGGGGAAACGGAAAGCCGCGGTCCACGGACTCGCTGGCAACACCGCCTTGTTCGGTAGTTCAGGGATTCGGACGACATAGGGATGGGGAAAACGAATTCCGACATGAGGTGATGATGATGGGTGTATATTTTCGGCCAAAGGGACAGACGGGTCATAGGGGAACGGTTATTGTAGTACGTTTATACCCTAGTGTTTTGCTTTTGACTGGTAAGGGAAACCAGGACGGAAATGCAGAAGAAGCCTCTGGACGAGGTTGAATTGAATAAATGGCGTTGTTTAAGCACCACTGGTCATGTAGTAATATTGATTCGTGGAACTCTCTCCCTCCGGGTGTGCGAGCCTGTTCTTGTTTGACGATCCCTCTAGAGATGAAGTTGCTCTGTTTCACTTCCAATTCAGTCAGCTACGACGCCTGTCCTATCAGGTTATGTGTAATTGGCACTCACTTGGTATTGATCGAGTATTCAACTCGCCGTCAAGACGCTTGTTGAGTGTTCACAATCACCAAGATCGAGAGCGATTGTTCATGTCAAAGGCAAGCAGTCATTGAAAACGACAAATTGTTTAGTGCATGGTCTGTATCTGTATCTGTATCTAATGATGTTGCAGATAGTTTATCAAATCTCTTTACATCTCCAGATGTCTAATTCATCAACCTGTACCAGTATCCAACGCCGGAATACCCATAAAATTCCGATTCAAAGCAACGCACGCTATGCACCGCCGTCTTAGATACGAACGACTTGTGAAAAAAGCAAGTCAAAAGAGGACACCTAAGCAAAGACGGGCGCAATGTTGGCCTTCTCGATACCAGGCGTAGCAACGCTGAAGACCTCGGGCCACAAAAACATCTTCTCCTCGGCGGGCGTAATGGCAACCAACTTGGGGATAGCCGTCTTGCTCGACATGCGTCTCCACATGTTGGCGCGCGGATTGAAGGCGGCGGGCATACCCTTACCACCCGTCTTCTTTTCATCCTCGTCGCGAATGCGCTGGATCTCGCTCTGGATGTCGGCAAAGGTGTCAAATGGGATATAGCCAATGGAGTTCTCGACGCAGTACTCCTCGAGACGAAGGCCGCGGCGGGCAAAGAGAACGTCAGCTTGGCGGGCGGCGGGCAAGTCAGAGACGCCGTCGCCGATGAAGACGATGAGGGGGATGGTGCCGTCCTCACATGCCATCTCGGCCTGCTCGCGGGCCTCGCCCATGGAGAGGGCCTTATCGTGGCCGAGCTCGTTGTCGTGGCGCCAGATGGGCTTCCAGGCGGAACCGTCGTCGGTGATCTCGGCCTCGTTGGCGACGATGTCGATGTGGGCCGAAGCGTCCTCGCCCAAAAAGGTGTCGAGAACGCGGCGGAGAATGGGCTTGAGGCCGGCGGAGATAACGTTGAAGGGGATCTCGTTGGCGATGCAGTACTTGTGGAACTCCTGGAAGGCCGGGTCGATCTCGAGCTTCTTCTCCATCACCTCGAAGCCGTCGTCAAAGGGGACGTTGAGAGAGCCCCACATCTCCTCAGAGACGTCGCGGAAGGAGCGCTCGCCAGACTTGATTTGCTCGTCGAGGATCTCGCGCTGCTGGGAGCCGCAGCCATGGGCGTCGAAGAGGATGTGGCCAGTGTCTTGCATGAAAATTGTTCCGTCAAAGTCTAGAAATATCGTTATTAGCAGGTGGCGAGACCAATGGGGGAGGGGTTTTGATCTTACCTGAGAAGCAGATGATTTTGCGCTTCTTGTTCTCGGTAGCAGGCAGGCCAGACACGGCAGCGGCCTGGACTGTTGAGGGAGAGATAGCGATAGGCATTGTGACGGTTGAATATGGTGTATATGCTTTAATGGTATCAGGATGCTGGTAAGATGTACTGGCTGTGACACAAATACTTTGTAGTCTCGTGGAGGAATACAAAAGCGTTGGTTGACTAGAAGTTAAAGTTGCCACGCACCAGGTTCAATGGGAGGTGTTGAGCTTTAATAGAAGTCAATGCCCACACGCGATACTGCCGAACTCTCGACCGAACCGCGAGCGGTAGCGGCGAAAAAAGAAGAAAAAGGCGCAAAGCCAGGCGGGCCAGGCATACCATCCTCTTCACGATGACGGCCTGTATTGCAACAGGTAGTTAGTTTTTTCCTTACACCCCTCCCCACCACCCCCGTTCCTCCCGCGAGTCCTCCGCCAAATACGGGGCGTCAGGGCGCGCCAACCTGCATGAGCAAAGGCTTACACCAAGGGAAACAAAAAAGGGGGGCATGGACAAACAAGAGGAACCCAGGCCAAGGCCAGCCAGCCCTCGATAGAGACTCCGCTCTCGTTGAGGATTTCAAAGCCGCTTCCGGGATGCTACTGCACAATGGCAAGCGGCCGAGACGCCGACTCGGACGGCGTCAACGGGCGCACCACAGACTGCCAGTCGCCAATGGATATCGCATACGATGACGGCGTCTCGCAGGCCCAAAGGCATCTGGCTTTCCCGAGCCATGCCCACTTGGGACGTTCTAGCGCGAACGAGGGGCAGGGCCAGATCCAGATTCGACAGTGTATAACTGGCTGATTCCTTGCCCCCCTTTCGCTGACTCTTGAGCTTTTCGGGATGGGCTGGCTGGATTGCCACGCTCCCACACCCTCTCGGGAGACGGAAGACGGCCGGCTGTGCACCTCATAAATGGCTGTGGGTGTTGTGGCAGACAGCCACTGGGAGCCTCCGACAAGGTCTCAGAGTCTATCAGAGCCTCTGATGATCGCCAGGAGAAGGTTTCTCCAACGAACGCGGAACGAGCCCAGTGGAATGGCGGACTGCGGTCTTTGGTTGTGAGCTGTCAGCCCCAAGGTCGGCGTTCAGAAACATCAGAATCAAAGTGGACAGATAAAACCGTTTCCGACTGTTCAAGACAGCCACCACAATGGCCGATAATGGCTGCAGAATCCGATACTTCGGTCAGCGCGCCCCATCGGCTCACTTGACAAGGGTGGGATCGGGAGGCGACAAGATACATCCGTCCGAAGAGAGAGAAAAATAAAATAAAACAAGACATGGAAAGGTGCTACCGAACAGAACATTCCAGTCCCCAAGGACCACGGTCTAAAGCCTGGCCGCATTGGTACATTACACAGACATGGGGGAATGGGAAATATGCCACCGAGAGCGGAGTCTTTAGCCCGTCGCCCCCACATTCACTGCGCCGAGCTGATCGAGCACAGCAGAAAACGTAAGGAAAGTTCAGAACATGAGGATGCCCAGAGAGAATTTGCTGCTTCGAGACCGAGGGTAAACGAACTTGCGTCTTTCCATGATGCGTGCAAGGACAAGGGTGAGAGGCCCCCAGTCGTTCCTTTGCCAACAGCGGATTGGTTTCCATTTGGTGGGAGGAGGGGGGTTTGGAGGCAAGCGGCATTTGGTTGGCGGATGGGGAAAACATGGGACAATTCATGGAAAATGGCCAAATTCGAGCTTCCTGCATGGTGATGTCATTCCGTCTTTTGGTGGGGCTCTTTATCGCGTTGCTGGAAGGCGCAAGTTGATGGCTGCTGAGAAGAGCACCAAAAGGCCCCCAAAATGCCCTTGTCCACGTCCGACGTGCAGTTTACCTGCGCTCAACCTTCAACAAGATGCGCTAACCAAGTTACTTTGTCGTAACGCGATGCAACGCGGTGCGGGCAGGCACGCAGGTTTGGCTACATTACGTGCCTTGTTCGTTGCTGCTGCACTCCAGCTCGTCCAGCCCAAGGCCTGTGGAGACGTGCATATGCATTGTGAAAGGGGCTTGAGGGCGAGCGAGATCGAAACAATCGAGGTCGGGGATGTTGGGGCAAATGAGCGGAGCCTCCATCACTCTCACTTTAGTCAACTCTCCGCTGCCCTGCCCTCCAATGAATCCATCCCATATGTAGCGGTCCGGGCTTCTCATTCGTCTCGTCTCCGGCTGAGAGACCTCGACAAGTCCTCGCAATGCAGTTGCGCGAGGAGCATCTTCTAGCCGATGAACACCCATGTCTGTTTTGGCGGTGAACACGCGATGCCTGCGCTGTACGTATCGAGGTGAGCCTGACCAGTAGGAACCTGTAATCCTCCATGAGGGGTCCTTATCGTCAACTTTCCTTGCGTCAAACGTCTCGCAGGCCGTCATAGCATAGCTCTACCGGCAGGCCATGGCCGATATCATCAACCCACCACAGCCGATGACGTTGAAGGCGCCCTTTGCATGTGTCTGCGGATTAAGTGAGATGCGGTGACTGAGCATCTGCATCGTGCAGTCTGCAATCTCGAGTTTCTTTGAGCCCCGTGCGTCCGTGCAAGACCCTGGGTAGGGTAGGTACTCATTCATTACCCCTCCACGTCCAGGTTAGATCCACAGGGCAATGCTAGACCGGCGAGACAACTGAGACAAAATTCGATGCTGTGCGATGCAAAAGATAGTGGCGATATTTGATTTGCGCTGTCCATCATTGCTCAAACTCAATCCTTGCCGGAAAGTCTGCTCCGTTGGCCAGCTGTTCAAAGCGCAAGCTGGATTGGCCTACTCCGGCAGTAAGCCCTAAAACAAAAATAAAAAATAAAATACTTGCCTGTGATTTTCGTACTTCTTTGACTTGAGAAAGTTGAGAGAAAGCCCTGAGTCAAGCGCATGGGGAGCCGGCTGTCTAGCTGGCGCTTGGTGCTAATCAAGAACAGGAAGCCATAATGTCAATCTGCCGATGTCGAAAGCCACCGATCCCTCACCTCGGGCGGGTTCGGTCAGCCGGCTCTCCCAGGTCCGGCTGTGCTGCCATACCCCGGGGATTTAATCATGCATGCCCGAAACGAACAGCTGGCCAGACGGGCTCAGCGATCCCATGGACCCTTCGAGCCCTGCTGATCACTGGCGGGTCGGGCGCATCTCGCACAGAAAGAACCGACCTTCGGAACAAGCGAGGGCGAGTGGAGGGGTATCTTCAAGCGGAAAGTAGTAATTCGAGTGGTCTCGTTGCGCTTTTCCGAGCCGTTGTATCTCCATTTGAGTTCCTCTAAACCGTACGCCTAACATTATGCCTCATCAGCAGTACACACCGCCCCACAGTCTATGCAGACACCTTGGGGCTGTACTTGGTCGCCGCCTTGTCGAATAGAGCACTCTTCTCCTCCAGGTCCACAAGGAACTGGTGCTGAGGGTCCGCCGTCTTCAATTTCCTGTGTCCACGTGGTCAGCATGTCGTCTCAGCGCCTTAACGAGCGAGGCACCGGAACTTACTCCGTGAAATCCTTGGGATCCTGGCCCGAAATCACCGTCAAAACCAGCAGGTTGGCAATGGCTTGGGCATAGCTTGCGTCCTTGGCCAGAGCCTGGTCGAGCGCTGCTTGTGCCTCCTCCGTGCGCCCAAGGTGCAATTCAGCAACGGCCTGAGAGACGAGAGTCGCAATGGACGACGTTGCTGGCGCCTGCGCAAGCTCCTCGAACACGTAGAAAGCCTGTTGATACTTGTCTCCGCCCTGTTCTTCCTTAGTACCTTTGCTTTTACTCGTGGTGCAGTCATCGTACCTGTCTCAGTCCAACCCATGACTCGGCCAAATTTACCAGCAAGCTGTCCTGTGCCCATCGTCTCGCGGCTGTGACCTCCTTGAGGGCGAGGTCGTTGCGGTTCTGCTGGAGGTGGATCTGAACGATCAGGGCGACGGCATCCACTGCGAATCCAAGGTCAGCGCAATTTCTTCCACAATCGATGCATATCAAACGTACAGCTTCCCTGGTGTTGCGACAGCAATGTAAGAGCCTCCTCTGACTTGCCCGCGGCCTGCAGGACTGTGCCTCCAACAATCTGGACTGTGGCGTTCTCCCCCTCGGACGCGGCGAGCTTCTCAATCGTCTTCACGGCAGAGTCTGTCTTGCCAAGTGCGCTCTCAGCAAGGGCACCGAGAGCGAGAAGTTCGGGCTCTTTCTCTCCCTGTATGTCGGCGAGAACATCTTCGGCTTGGCCAAGGGCGATGCGGGCTCGCAGGACTAGGATGCGGGCGGGAAGCTCATTCTCGGAAGAGAGGGCGGAGGTATCATAATCAATGACCTCTTGGTACTGGGCCTGGTGGAAGTAGTTGTGGATGTTGATCAATTCGCCTTCAGCAGAGTAGGGATCCATTTTGGCGGTTTCGTTCGCGGGGCGTTCGTTGTTGAAGATTGATGTCAAACGATGAGCAGCTGCGAATGCGATCTGTTCCCCTTGACCACTTAACTGATGTGGGGGCCCTTCAAGCAACGTGGAACCCTGAGAAGACACGGAGGAAGCCGTGGCCGGGAAGGTGGACCTATCGCGTGGTCTGTGCGCCATTAACGTTCAACAACAGTGACAACAGCAACAACTCCATCCTGCCTCGACCTTGCGATCACCAACTAGGTAGGTAGGTAGGTACTCACCGACAAGAAACCTTGTCGACATCGGGTTGAAGTAGTCCCCTGATCCTATCAAGTGATACTATTTGTGGCTGGTTCTTACACTACCTTTGAATGTAAAGCCTCTGAAATTCTTCTGACTTCGACTCCCAAGTAGTCTTGGACCTCTCGCTCTCTCTGTCTCTCACCGTCACATGATACGCCAGACAGCCCAGTGCCCAAACTACGACGTCATTAGTTGAGCGGCAGAAATTTCAAGCTCATTGCAGTTTCAAGCACCTGTCCTTCATTATGGTATTCCTTCCTCTTCTTGTTCGTCTTCACCTGTGGGCTCGTATCAGTGACTTTCTACAGACACTAGAAGCTCTGCCAATGTGACTTAACAGAGCGGGCGACTTGCCTACTGAGGTCTAAATGTGGGAGGCTCCATGCAGTAGCAGAGAATCATGCACTAGTCAAATCTGCAGGATTTTTGACCATTTGGCTACCAGGCCCAGTGCTTGCTGTTGGAATATCATGGCACTGAGCTTCCAATAAGGGCTCCCTGGGCCAAAGGTTGGGATGCTACCTGGAAGTAGACCAGTGTCAAGTCCCAGCGGTTAGCTGTCTCTACTCTGCTATGATTCTATGAGCATAAGAAATGTTTCCCAACTTTGAAATATCCTCCAAAGGCTCGATATATATCACATGTTCTCCAATACTTCTCAAGCATAAGGCATGCAATGAGAGTGCTCACTGCATCTACAGATGGGCGTGCTTTTACAGTCAAGTGCCCGGCTTGGAAGATAGGGCAGATGCCACTTGGATTACGATGATGAATATACCAAAGATGATGGCAGAACAACACCCAGTATTTCTGTCTCCTGCCGCCTGGGGCAGTTGCCCCTTCCCTCCGTATTTGGGAAATTAATACACGCTCAAACCTAAACATCTCCCCTCGTCACAGTTGAAGGCTCATGCTATTCACACCAGCATCACATATTTTGAATTAGCAATCACTCACCAACTTCTCTTTCATGGAAGTGATTTTGACACCACCTTTGGCTACCCATATTCTGGGCTTGGTAGTGAGCTTGATTCCTATGTCCTGCCTTTACCTCTTGCTTCTCCCTTTTGTTCACGACGATTTCCTTCTCGCTCTCCTTGAGGGCTTGTTCATGCGTACCGCTCACATCAAAATTCGCTTCCATATCGCCTTTCGCTTCTCCTTCGATTGAAGCTTGAAGCGCGTCATTCTATCCCGTCTCATATCACCTGACCTTCCTGGCTGGTCATCCCGACAATCTCACGATGGATCCTTTTGACCCGCTTGAGCTGAGAGAGGCAGGCCCCCAAAAGCCTAGAGGCCCCCTTGAGCCCAGCGTCCTCGACCGGAAGAGACCAGTTGCTCGGTTCCCAGACAGCTTTTCTGCCAATCTCGGTCGCAAGGCTTCTTCCTTCTTTCGCCAAGACGAAGCTCCTGGAATTGACCAAAACACCTCATCATCTCCTCCTCCTCTCCCAGAAAGCAAGAGCATCATTCATCGCAAACGAGACGTTGTACCTGGCTTACCTTCTCCATCGACATCTCGCGATCGTCAAGCTTCCGCCGCGTCTTCTGTCAAGGCAATGGTCGCGAAATTCGAAGGTGCCACCGCTACGCCTGACAATTCCGACAAGATGGCTGACCACGGAGATCACGATCTCACCCCCTCCACGCCCGCTGCTGATAAGGGCAAGGGTAAGGCTTCATTCGATGAGTCCACTGATACCACTGCCGCTTCGATTCCGACTGGTGCGGCTTCACAGCCCATGAAGGATCAGTCCGCGGAGGAAATCACCGATCTGGAGCTTCTCAAGATGGAGGAATTTTTCAAGACCGAGTCCCTCGCGCGCTGCCTCGACAATTATGTCGCTCCGAAGTACATTCACAAGAAGGTCAAAGTCCTTCCCCTCGAGGAAGATGAGGGAGTCTCCATGGTGAAGGCCGCCAAGATTGAGCTTTGGAACAAGCTGGCTTCTCTCAATGAGGCCTATGAGGAGCGCCACCCGTCCGCTAAGGAAGAGCGTCTCGCCAAGGAAGCCGCTGTGGCTGCCGCCAATGCTCGTCTCGATGAGGTTCTCGGAGAGTCATCCAAGCAGGGCGCTCTGAACGAGGCGGCCAAGACTTCGACCCGTGCCGAGCGCAGAGCTGAGCAAAAGGCTCAAAAGAAGGCCGACAAGAAGGCCCAAAAGGCTTCCAAGCGCGAGATGCCCGCCGCCAACGCTCCTCAGGCTGTCACTTCGCCGACCGTTGAGGAGCACGCGAACAAGGAGGCTTCGCTTCGCGAGAAGTATCCGGAGACCTACGCGAAGATTGACTACTGGCGCTCTCTTGGTGCCCCCGACAAGCCCGCCGATTCTGGCAGCGAGTACACCGTCCACTCTGACGACGAATTGCCTCATGCGGCTGCTCAGCCTGTGGCTCAAGAGACCCAGACGATCACCGCCCAGGGTCAGGCCGCAGCTAGCAAGGTCCAGAAGAAGCAGGCCCCCGCCGATGATTCCTCTTCCGAAGATGACAACTGGAGCACCGGCTCATCCAACGGCGACCCTTTCTATCTGAACAAGTACCTCACACCCGAGTATCAAGCCAAGGCCCAGGCTTATCTCAAGTCCTTCGACAAGGATCAAACTCAGGCCGCCGACAAGCCCGTCTATGGACCCGTCCCGCCCCCGTCTTTCATCCAGTCCGGAGGCAAGACCATCGTAGGCAAGCCGACTGCCACTCATCGCCGCCCCCAGCAGGCGACGGAGAGCGACGAGTCCTACACCTTCATCCAGCGAGACCCGAAGGAGGTCGACGCGTTCTAGAGCAACGTGCGAGCTTCCCTTCACATCTCCGACGATGAGCTTTCTGACACCGAAGACGTCAAGGCCGCCAAGGTCTCCGCTGCCCAGAAAGAGAGAAACGAGATCAACCGTCGTGCGTACGAGCGCGTCAATGCCGCCCACGCCCGGGGTGAGATCGTCCACTTGGAGAACACCAAGCCCATCCGTGACACCTTTGCAACCGACATCAAGAAGGAGGACATTGTCCCCGGCTTCGGCAAGGGCAAGAAGAAGCAGGCTGCTGCCGCCTTCGACGAGGAGGCCTATGCCGCCCGCTCCATTGCGTCTCACACCATGAAGCCTGCTCCGCTCCGCATCCCTTCTCGCGCCAAGCAGACCGCAGTCGACAACGACAAGGTCGGCGTCAAGGATGCTGCCCAGGTACAGAACAAGACGCCCACCGTTCCTGACGCGCACCCGTCGAACACTGGCAAGTACCGCATGGTCGCCGGAGAGTCCACCTCCTTGGACTTTGATCTCAACAAACTCGGCTCGATCCGCGGCAGCACTAGAGCGGCCAGCGGATTGTCCACGCAGAGCGGTGGTCCGAAGAGCAGCGGTAGCGCTCGCAACTTCAGCTGGCCCAAGAAGCAGCAGACTCGCGGTAAGAACAAGTACGAGTTCGTCGACGACGACGACGACAACTCCAACGACGAGGCCGCCGGGAAGAAGAAGCAGCCGGGCAAGACTCAGACTCATCCCACCGTGTCTGGAAGCGGCGGCGGCGGCGGCGGCAGCAGCTCTCGCCAGTCCGATCCCCTCTCGACCTTGCTCAACAACCACAGCGGCTTCGGTAACTTCACCCGCAAGCTGGCGCCCCTCCCCAAGCCCCAGACCAAAGACGGCAACGACGAGACCGGTGGCCGCCGAAGCTTCACCGCGGATGAGTACCAGACCCTCATTCAGGATGAGTTTACCCGTTTCACCCAGCAGTCCCCCGAGAAGAAGGCGCGCGACCTCGAGGTGGCCATCGCCATCCTCAATGGCGCCCCCTCTCTGCCCTCCTCCTCTGGTCGAACCTCGACCGCCTCGGCGCCCGCCCCCTCGAACAACGTCACCCGTCAGACCGTGACCGTCGGTCCCTTCCATCAGCGTCCCGCCGTCCGCCTGGCCGGCACTACAGCCCTCCCCCCCACGCCCGCGACCTCGGCTGTCCCCGCGTCCACGGCCGAGAAGATGGCTGAGCTGGATGACTTCTTCGCTGAGGAGAATGATCATCACTACACCATTCCCGGTCCTGCCGCCACCGGTTCCAGCTACGGCTCTAGCTACAGCTCCACCGCCTCCGTCGGCCAGCAGACCAAGCAGCAGGAGAACCAGGAGAAGGACCAGCAATGGAACGATCCCAACTATCACGAGGATGCCCTCTCTTTCGGCTACGCTTACCAGCAGACGGGCTACACCACCCTCCCGGACGAACTATCCCCCGTGCCCCTCACCCACAATCAGCGCAGACAGGTTCTCGAGCAGTATGGCATCTCCGAGGCAGAATACCCGGCCCCTCCCGCCGGCTATCCCAACCCTCCCGGCCCCGAGCCCGGCTCCGTCGCTCCCCCTTGCCCTTCGCGCCCTGCTCCCATGGTCCCCCCCTCGATCACTCCGGCTACCAGCACCGGCGGAGGCAGCAGGGTCACAAGTCGTCATAGTCGCAGCAGCGGTGCTCCCGCTCCCGCTCTCGCCCCCGCCCCTGCTACCGTCCAGAGCCTGCGCACCCCTCGTCGCTTCCGCCGCGCGGCTACTGCGCCCTCCGCGCCTGCTCCCGAGAGTCCTGCCCCCGGCTACGATGATGATTGGTTCGGAGCGAATGAGAAACGACGAAAGAACGAAAGATACGAAGAACGAATGAACGACTCGAATGATTACAAACGAAACAGTCCGAAACGTCTTTGTTCGCTGTTTTACTGAATGCTGTTGCTTGTTATGCTTCAAATATCTACGAAAAAGGAGAAGAAGAAAAAAAAAAAAAGAAAAAAGTTACCCAGCAAAGTGCCAAACGCAAAATGCCCAAACCACCGTCGTGGGAGCATTGCAGCTGGCTGAACTTGGCTTGAATGACTCTTTGGCATTTCCTGTTCTTGGAACTGTACTTGGAATCAATTGAACCGCCCGGATCACAAATGCTGCGACATGGCTTTCGAACACACGCAAAAAAAAAAAAAAAAAAAGACAAAAAAAAAGCAAAATGTGTTGGACTATGAGAAACAGGTGGTTGTTTTTGACCACAATTTTCTTCTCAAGTAAAGTTGGCTTGGAAAAGAAATCAAGACGGGATATATTCCCTTGCTCCCTGCAAGGAATTTGCCTGCTCTCCCATTTTCAAGTCTTTTGCTTCGCTCATTCTTCTTGTTCAGAATACGACTGGGATTTGTTTCACTTTCTTGGGAAGGGAACAACCCCCCCACCGTCGACCTTTTTTTTTTTTCCTTTTTGCAATGGCAGCCGCAATTCGCGTCATGCTTTTTGTATGTACGTGATACACCCGTTTATTGGGGACGTGGCGTGACGAGATGAGTTGAGACAGGAACCGGACAGAGAGAACCGGGGAGACGTAAGGCAAAGCACAGATGAGGAAAGCAAGGAAACAGTATGTGAACACGTTCCTATCATCCTCTTGAACAAGAGAGGTTAGCTAGTTAGGTAACCAAACAAAATCGATCAATGATGATCAACACACTGGGCTCGTAGAACACGTTCCTATCATCCTCTTGAACAAGAGAGGTTAGCTAGTTAGGTAACCAAACAAAATCGATCAATGATGATCAACACACTGGGCTCGTAGCCAATCTCAATCTCGTGACAGGTTGCTCTAAAAGTCAGGGAGCACTGCATCGATTCATGGCGACGGACCCAAGCAAACTCCCTTCCCTGAATGTACCCCGAGGCTTTTGCAGTCAATACATGTTCATCAAGCCATACTTTAAGCAAGATCAACATCAACAAGATGGGTGTATCTTTTCAGCTCACATAATAATCTGGACATCATGAGGAGCATACGCACGTCAGAGCATCTCTGTTTTAAGAGGGAGATCATCGAGTTCGAGAAATTAATCTGATTAGGTATCATCCCCTGTCCATGGCATACCAGCCCCTGTCGGGGAACAAAGGCCATTGTGCCAACTCCATTCATCAACGTAGCCTCTAGTGCGCGTTAAAGGACTTCCTTCTTCTCCTGTGTATGTACAGCATCGGTGGTGTGCTGTCAACAGAGTCTCTGCCCTCTACAAGGCGACCCGACAGCCATTGGAAGAAAGAAAAAGTGAAAAGGAAACAAAGGGAATCACTCTTGTGTGAAAATTATTCGCTCGTATGTCCAGGTCCATCGTCCTTCCTTGCTGGACCTTCTGGCTCCCCTCAAGCAATCCCAGATACGCCGCCCCTATGCGGAATTCGTGTCCCTCATACATGACAAAGGTATATATAGAAAGTCCCATCGTACAAGAAAGGAAGGAAAGGGGAACTGATTGAGAAGTGCCGCAAACACGCTCAAAAGGGTTCCACCTCTAAGCACTCTGTGGCGGGAGTCCGGCCGTGCCATTGTTCTCCGATTCCAAAGCCAAATTCCGAGGGTCCGCACTCTCGACCTGGGGGAAGTTTGACTTCTCTATGCCGGAAACCCCACTGTCGGTTTCACCAAAGGTGATGCCAAGAGAGTCTGCATTTTTCTTTGCCTCGAGTGCTCGTCTTTTCTCATCTTCTTGAGCTTCTTCAAGGTTCATCAACGCAGGGGGGCGGTGTCGCTGCTGTCTAGCCTTGGCGAGGGAAATGGTCTTTTGTTGATACGTCGTTGTTATCGCCTGGGTATCATCTCGGTCAATGGTGGCCTTCATAAGGGCTGCCATCCACAGTCTTCCCGACTTAAGATTAGGTACTGCGAAGTAGTGAACAGTAGGTTTGGTGAAGTTCACAGCGCGGGACAGGCCTGCTCTTGGTGGAACCAGCTTGAAAATGAACATTGTGTCATCTCCTTTTTCCACCGAGGCATTAGCTTCGTGTCCAGTGACAGCACCTGCACCAGTGAGCTTGGCGTGGAGTCCAGTCAATTGCTCATTGTCAGCTGGGAGAACACGATGGAAGGAGATATCAATGAGTCCCTTCTCTTCATCGTCGTTCTCCGAGTAGTAGTATGCTAGCCGGCGTCCTTTGAGCACAAACAATCGGGGTTTCCATGTCGTCATGAGGTTAGAGCTCTTCTTCCTCATCCACCCGCTGTAGTCGGCATCCTTGACGGCTTCAGCAGGACTAATCTTCAGAAGGCCCCGTTGATAGGCGCTCGTTTCTTTCTTGCCCTTCTTCCTACTACCCTTGCTCGCCACGGTCGTAGCAGTGCTGGGACTCTTTGCAGTGTCAGGCGAATCGAGCTCGAAGCTTGGCCCGGCAGAGGGAGTGCTCGATCCTGTTCTAGCGGGCGAGGGTAAAGGCGAATCCTTCAGGGATGGGTCGATTGGTGAGGCCATTTTGTTGCGATCGCTTGAGATCGAGTCCGAGATTGCGCGCAAGCCGGGCACCTTCATTGACGGCTTCACAACAGCGGAAAGCCAGTCAGCGTGTATTCCCTGGCGTGTCGCAGGAGACTCGGGTACCGGAGAGGCACGAGCCTTGGCTTCAAGCTTTGTGACGCTGGGCGCCCCGACATCCTTGACGGGAGGCACAGGCCGTGCAGACTGAGTGGTACTCGTCGAGGCAGTTCTTCTATGGGCGGTGGATGGGATGCCGTAGTACTTTTGCGCCGCAGGAGACGCAACACTGTCACGATTCGAGTCGACGCTTCCAAATCTCGAGTGCCTCGAAATGGCTGTAGCACTACGCACCCGTTGCTCCTCGGCGTAGCTGTTCTTTCTGCCTTGGCTCGCGGTGCTATCGCGCTTTCTAAGCACGTTCCGACGCCGTCCGTCAACTTCAGTGCCGCTGAAGTAGCCACGATCGGTATCGATGGCGGACTCTGGGGCATGAAGACCAGATTGTTGCATAACGTCTTGAAGTCCAGTAGAGGAAAGTGGTCGGCTTGAGGCGCTGCCAAGGGTCCAGTTTCTGTCGAACGAGGGTTGCTTCTTATGAGCTCCATCTGTCTGAGGAAACGTTCCACTCGTGGCCAGTTTCGGTGTCAGGGTACTGGCCATAGGCTGTCCTGCCAAACGAAAGTCGGTGGACGATGAGTGTCTGCGAGAGTGGTGCAGATCTCTGACAGACGCAGCCGAAGGCCGTTTCATGTGAGATGGTCGGGTGGGACTGTCGACAATCGGGGAGACTGGCGACACAATCGATGCTGTATCCAGTTTGGGTGTTTGCGAGAAGGAAAGCCGCTTGCTTGAAAAGGACATGGCTCTGTCGTCCACCGGTGTCATCCTGGGCATTGAGCTGGTCAAGGTGTCGGCCCGGCTTCTAGACCGCTTCGCATCTTCCGAGCCCACATCGCTGCCGTACGTCTGGGTGGTCCTTCTCGTCGCAATACCTAGGTTATTACACTCGTCTTGCAGAGACTTGATTTTCTGCCAAGTTTTGAGTCTCCTGCCAACAGATCCCAGTTCGAACGCTTTAATGAAGAGGGAGCTCTGGTCCATGCCCAACAAGACTTCGCCGGTGATCTCCTGGTCGCGGAATACTTCGCAGTGCGATTTCTCGACGCCGACTGTGAATAGATACTCAGCAACTTGGTCCGGCGTCCAAGCCTCTACCTCGGACCGGCTGTGCATGCCCTCCTCTTCTTCATCCGTTTCTTCGCCATGGATGTAGGACATTCGATGATCGAGCTGGGCACTATACTCGCTGCCGGAATCGGTGGGAGGGGCACGCATTGCGCCGTTGCTAGGTGTAGAGCGAAGATCGGTGATGTGCTCGTCGATAACGTTGAGAGTCTCGCTGAGTACATGGTCCTGGTTCGTGTTGATACGGCCGAGGGCGGCCGAGGGCGGCGCACTCGCGGTTGGCGGCGCATTTTCGATTGGGCTCGTCTCCTGTTTGATGTTACTCAGAGGCAGAGTTACGGGAGCCGGAGAATCGGGTGGCGGCGTGGGAGTGGGTGGAGCGGCGGGGGTAGTAATCTCGTTGTCGGCCGGGTCGGGAGGGTTTGTTTGTTTGTGTTCGTTCACCACCTCGGGCAGTGTTGCTAATGGCTTCGAGAAATTGTTCGCGGGGACAGTCTTCGGAGCTGGCCTGGTGTATACTGGACCATAGATAATCAGTATCTTGTCGTTCGCATAGGTCAGTTACCGTCTAGACGTACCTTCAGGAAACAGTCCGCTGTTCCCGTTGACTAGGTGCTTGCCCAAAAACCATCCGTCTCCAAACTCGTCATCTCGTTCGATCAACTCGACTCGATCGCCTTTGGTCAGGCTCAATTCGTCGGAACTGCGAGCAATGAAGTCGTCTGCAAGAAGAAAAACAGGTCAGATCAAAGTCCATAGCGGAGAGACCCGGTCCGGTAAGGTTGAGGGCGGGGAGACGATAACGCTGCATGACGCGAGCGAATACGAGTGACGACGGGCGGGACAAGGCGGGCGGGTGGGCTTAGGCGTTGCTAGCGGATGAGTGGGAGGGACTCACGTATGACCAAGAGGGTATCGCCAACTTCTGGCTTCTGAGCAGCCATGATGTCGACGATGCCAGGCGCCGCGACAGATGCGGGTGGCGTTTGCTGAAGAGAAGGAGTTGTAACGGGATCAATACATAGGAGACGAGTTCGCTGGCTGGGCAGCCTGGTCTGAGTTGGACTTGACTTGGGTGCGACGACGACAAGGGGGTGGAGACGTGCTGGCGAAGCGAAAAAAAAAGAGTGGCAGCAGCCAGGGATTGTCAGTTATTCGGCAGCTGGGACCAGGTAGGTAGGTGGTGGGCGGATAAGATGGCGAGGAGGAGCGGGCGGATTGGAGGAGAGAAGGGCGAGCGAGGGTGGTGAATGGGAGATGATTGCGACTAGGGTGAGAAGAGAGGAAGGAGCAAGAGAGTGGATTTCTTGACGATGGCCCCCAAATAGGTTGTTTTCCCCGTCAATGGGTCGAAGACAGAGCTCTGGCAGACGTTTCTTTTCCAGCAGGATGACTTCTCTTAGTCTTCCCCGTGTCGATCTCTCCTAGCCAGCCTCTCCGTGTGGCTACTGGTGTTGTCGGGCTGAAGAGCTGACTGCCGAACGGCCAAAAAAAAAAGCGGCGAGTGGATTGAAAAAGGGTCGTTGCTGGATCGGGGGAAACAATGCAAGCTGAGGTGCGAGGTTGGAGTTGCTCAAGGCGGTGTTGCGGGATGTGATTGGGGGATGTAGAATTGGCGTAAAGGGCCGCTATTGGGTCATTGCGACCTCGAGGTAGGGCGCATAGACGACGCTGAGGGGGGGAACTTCAGTGGACGGATGGAGTACCTTGGGACGGGACAGACGGGACGAAGCTGGCGGGGAGCCGGTGATGGTCCAAAGCCTTCTGCCGTCCGCTGTACAACTGCACCTGCACTGCGCATGCGCAGGTACTAAAGCATGGAAGCCGAACGTCCGAGGTGTTATCTACCTTAATTAACGTCAAATCGTCGTCGGCCAGGCGAATCTGCAATACGAGGCAACGAGAGACTTGTCTTGGTCTTGTTCCTTCCTGAGGCACGGTAGAGCGACGTGCGATGCGCAGGGATCAACAACAAGAAAAACAGAAGAAGAAAAGTGCACGGTACTAAAAGGTGGCAGGAAGGGGTCACAAGCTCGGGTTTCGAGTTGGGACGGGAGGAAGGGACCGTCAGACGATGGTGGTGGTCGAGGTGCAATTGATGAGATTCAGATGAGTGAGGTGAAGGCGAACGTGACGGTGACTGGCTGGAGCTGAAGCCGAAGGCGTGAGACCTGTGTCCTAGGAGACCTGACAATAACCTAGGTGAGGTCAAGCAGGTGGAAGGAATGCAAGAGGGCCCATATAAGGAAGGCGGCTTGCTGATACGGGGGCCGTGTGATGAAAGCGAAGCTGACGATGCGCAACGCCCAATGCAAGGGACGGCAGTGTCCGTGAGCCCGTTCCTGTTCCACCTTCCTGTCGATGGTGTTGTGGCTTTCTTTACCCAAGGCGCGGCACCTTGGTAACGATGATCAGACCAAGGCTCAGAGCGCGCGGTGCGTACGGATACTCGCTCGTTGGATCCGGCCCGGCGGAATTCTGCTCGGGGGCCTCGTGCCGCTCTCTGTGTCGGGGGATACTCCCTTACAAAGTGTGATGGATGATGGAAAAGATGCAATCCAAGTCAAGCAGAGGCGAGGAGTTTGGTTACAATGGTTTTGTAGGTTATGCGGGAGAAGGGCCCGATGTAGGTATTTGCTCGTTGAGGCGCAATAAAAAGGGACGGGGATTTGAGAATAAAGAACTGTTTCTTGGTTTACGACTCAAGACACAAAGGACGGGAAGGGGCGTCTTAAGCTGAAGCCTGTGGAGGCACAGAGGAACTCCCGCTCGATCCCGTCAAAGTGCATTGGGGAGCTAAAGTTGGGCAAGGCAAGTACCTTTTTCCATTACGAGTAGACCTGACGGGATGCAAAAGAAGCCGCTGAACGGCGCGAATGGTATCCGTAGAGGCAAAAAATTGGAATGGGAAGGCAGGAGCCAGGCCCGGGGCTCTTTCCCTTCTACAAACACATCTCACCTCAACCAGATGGGACCAGCAAGACCCATCCCAGTTGGACAGTTCCCTTAATAAAAGACGCGATATTGGAACTTGCGATGCATATGGACATGCATCTTACACGCTATAAGCTTGCTACCATCCAGACCCGTGGACCCGTGGGAAACGCGGATAGAGTTCGCTGCTGCGAGGAGCAGATGGCGAATCAAGTCACCGACAGGAGGAACATGCTCACCACGGCCTGACACCATCCCGACTTCTTGTCTCGACCGCAGCACCAGAAAGCACGACTTCAGGTTCCAACGGCAAGAAGGCGAGTCTAGAAGGCGAGTCTCGTTTTGTTTCGGCCTCCGGCTGACTTGACCTCCTGTCCCTTCTTCTCCGCCTCCCCTCAACATCTCCTCGACACCTTCGTAATGACGATGCGCAAAGACGGGCCAGAACACCGTGATACGACCTACCAGAGTAGCCCGTCGTCGTGCCACGCTAACGAGTCCCCCGTTTCTCATGTCGCTAGGACATGGTTGGCTCCAGGCTCGCCCATTGCGTAGCCAACCGAACGGACAGTCGCGACTGTGATCACACCCTACCTTATCCTCCCTCAGGGTGGGTACCCCGAAGAAACAGCTCACCGGCGGTCCGTCCGGTGTGCCCGTCACCCAAACTCGCCATTTCGCCACGGCCCACGGGTCAAACATCAGACCTTACACGCTCCACGAGGCCCGGAGCAACCAGGGCATTCCCGTTCCCCGTTTCCTCGTGGTCGTGGACACCAGCAACCTGAGGCGACTAGGAGAGGGGACCGGGAGGGGCATCTTGCAGCGTACTACTATGTATGTAATGTGCAGCGGCTGGTTCCCCCCGACCCAGCAAGGGTGGCCCGGAGCCACAAGCAAAAAGTTGGTCCCAGACACACCAATCAAGTTGGCCGTGCATGTCGGTTGTGGAGAGAGTGGCAAGGTGATGCCGGCCTTGCCAATGCAGTTAATCTATTGCTCTTTGTCATCCTGGCGCGTCCAGCTCGAATCACGGCCAACTGGCGAAATTGACAGGCCAGGGCAAGCCCGGCCGGCATGCAAACTCACGTGCCGACCATTTCCTCTTTGAGCTCTGACCGTGTCCCGTTTTTGGTTGGCCTTGGGATGGGAGACTCAAGGTTCAAGAAAATTAGATGAAAGATTCTGCGTTACATAATCTGCCTGCGCCCTGAGGGCTAGCTCTCTCAATCTCCAAGAAGAAGCAATTCGATAATCGAAGCTAAGGTAGTGATATGGACGGGGGGCCGTTGGAGTAAGATAAGGTAGCTCCATCTGACGCGGCCCCCCGACTTGGCCACTGTCAGGCATGATTGCAACGACATCTCTTCCGAGGTTCCATCTCTTCATTTCCCAATGGCTTTTATGTCCCCTCTCCTTCGACACTGACTTTCCTTCTGAAATATATAGAAGGTGCATTTGAGCTGGTGGAATAAAGACGATAATTGGAAGTATGTTCTATGATCTATCAGTATCATAATCCTGTCCTAGCATTCACCTTGACACACATCCTTTGTAGAGGGGTTTGGAGCTCAAATCCGGACTTGTCGAGGCCCTCAGGTGGATGGATGAGTGCGACGTGACACATCGACGTTGGCCGCTTTTTACACCTCAGAAAACCCAAGAGCTCTCTATCCATGCGGCGGACGAGGCTGGTTACACAGGAGACGTCTTCTGGAAAATAGCAAGAAGCAAGAGCGACAAAGCAGACAAAGAACTGCCACTCTTGTCATACCCATCACCCCTGAGCCACTATCAACGGCGAGAGGCAAGACATCAACGATGTGGACGCAAGGGGTGTGCGCCATGAGGTTTGGCGCCAGGTTGCATACCTCGAAAGTGTGAGTGGGAGCTTTCTGAGAGCGCAAACAGAGACATCGATGCTCTGTATACGAACACCTTTCATGTATACGAGGCCTATTCGTAGCGGGAAGTGGACTTTTGATATTTAGTTCGGTTTCGACTGAGCCTGGGTTGAGCCTTGGAGAGGAGTCATTGTAGGATTACATCTTGGCAACCAACATGAATTCAGCTATCCGTTTTGGGTTGATTTGGCCATGGCTGTAATAAATGCAGAAGCGCTATACAATGGTGCATATTCATGGCATCTATTCCCACGCAGGCAGTGGGAGACACTATTCTCAGGGTGCACTCTTATAGCCGCATGGATCGTCAGAGCTCGACTCCAACGAAACGTTTGCCCTGCAAGCCATGGCGAGTCTAACTAAAGCTAGACGGGTATCGCGTAAGAGTGCCCATCGAAGAACTAAGCCATGATGGGACTAAGCCATCTTGTCCCCACCAATTGCCACGCCCCCCTCTCTCCCCCCAGTGGCCAGCTTCTCGGCTCCAGCCTTAGCCTACCGCCCTAGCACACCTAGAGGCTAGCAAACACCTCCCCCGTCACACCCTAAAATGTTCCAGCGGGCTCTTCGCTCCAATCTTCCTTTTGGACGGTCCTGATCTGGTCTCCATCTCCAGTCTCTGGTGCACGTCCCCTGCCACAACCCGACTTTCTCCCTTTGCGCCCCATGTTCACAACCGTCACCGAAGTTTTTCCCGTCCCGAATGTCGGATCGTCAGTCGAGGAGAAATTACCCAGATCTCTTCTTCACTGTTCACCTTCGAGCCTCACTGTTCATTTGCCCAACATTCCATCAAAGCTCGCGTTTACTATTCGACAAAGGGCCTGGCTACAGAACAGAGAAGACAGCGCGCCACGCCGGACGCCTGCGACACGTCTGGGCTGTTTGGCTTGCTGAATAAGAATACGTTCCTTCCGATCGCGACAAGTCCCACGGTTTAGGACTTTGCCTTTCTAGATATTTGAGGCGCGCCTTCCCGAGACCTTCATCACTTACCACTGGGCATCGCTATCTGCCGACCCGAGACATCCATATAATCCCAAAGTGCAAGAGGAGGCAAGAGGGGCCGGACGGCACTTTCCTCACCCACCGCCCTGCGACTGCCTCTTCTTCTGCTTGAGACGATCGTTCCTCCCCCTACCGACCCAGAGTTTTCCTTCGACTTGGACTCTGACTCTTATTGGCCGGACTTTCCTTTTGTAGCTAGCTGGGACCTCATCCTCATGGTATGCGTACAGTTCCACTTGTCTTGACAAACCACAGCCTTGTTAACCAAAATGGCTGAGTCCAGTCTCGCTCAAGGTCCCCGTTCGCTTCCGCCGCGCAGCCGCCGCAAACCCCGTAAAAACGATCGCACAAAAGCAACATGCCACCTCTCGGGGCTCAACAAGATTCGGTCGAGGGCCTTGTGTCAGGCGCGCAGGTCGCCCGCTCGAATGAGACTGTCAACTTTTTGCTAGGAAATCGTCGTCCCACGTGGATGACTTCGCAAAATGCACAAACATCTCGCAGCCCGCAGTCGAACATGGGACCGACGTCGAGCAACCGCCACGGTGCTCAAAGTTTCCTGAGGAACCCAACCCCTCGGCCTCGGAACCAGCTTTCGACAAACACTTCAAATACACATCCGGCACTAGGAACCATCGCGGCAATCACTTCGCGACCGCCTGACAGCCTACAAGACAAGCCCACAGCTGCGCCAGATTCCAATCAAATCATAATGTACGTTCCCTACCCTATTTCATCTTGTGGAATACCAAGGCCTTTCCATCACTCAAAACGCCACAACGGTCTCTAACTTCTTCCTATGGCAGTGACTGCGCAGCCGCTCTTCCGTCTCCGGCCCCAACTGATCAACCCAGTCCACCCACAGCCACCTCAAACCAAGGCTCGCACCAAATTCGAGAGACATGCTTTCAAAGTCCAGAATCGGGATTTGATCCTGTGGCCAATATCTCGAACGCAACATCGGCTTCGACTGGCGAGAACCCCGGCCGGGAACAACCAGCCGGTATCTCTCCGCGGGATCCCTCAGGATCTGTTTCTGGAGCCGCAGTCCCAGATCTGAGCGACACGGTTTCTCTGCTAAGAGACCGTCACTCCAACGCAAGGTTTTCCCTCTTCGAACCAACCGAGCACCAAACGCTCTTCACTCAGTCAAAAACACTTCCGGGGACATCGCCAAGCTCGTTCTCTACCCCTCTGATTCCCGGCTGTCAAGCAGCACCTGGCCCTATGCTCAATGAACCATCACGACCACCATCGAGCCAAAGCGCAAGATCGCCAGCGGCTTTGCAGCCGCTTGTTACTGGTCACCACACAAACCAACCCCCTAGCCAAAGCCAAAATGTCGACCGTAATACTAAACCTCTCCCAAAAGATAGCCAGGACCCTCCCGACAGCCTCCGCCAAGTAGTCATGGCCACAACCCTCGACAAACACATTATCAATCATGGTGGCATAAGCAACCTTCCCGAAGATGGTACTACTGGACCCAGAGTCCGACTTCTCAAAGACGCCATTGAGAAGGCCGATTACTTCTACATAGTGCTACACCAAATCCTTTGTGTCTGGACGCTTGACAGAGAAGCCGCATATGGCCTCCTTGGTCTTCCTTCCAATGTTGGAGAGAGCGCTCTTAACATCGTGCAGAACGTCCTCCGGAAGAACGAAAACATGGACCCAGACCAGATTCTCTTCTTCGCAAGATTTCCAGCTAGTGGCAATTCTGGGCTATGGAACACTGAAGCCTACCGCAAGCATGTTGGGGATATTTCCGTTTTCCTAAACAACCTACACGAACAGTGGAACAGAATCTTGATTCCTGCCATGAGACCTCAGTCAGGTAGAGGGTATCCTATTTTAGCAGACGAATTGCACTATCAACTCAAACTTCGGTCGCCGGTTCTAGAGAATATTTTCTTCACCGTCACTAGAAGGCATACTGGTGTCCCAGACGGCCCCATTGCCGACCAGATGTCTGCACTATTCCGACAAGATTACCAGAACGACAAAACCACGTTGTCCGAAGATGAGCAAAGGGTGTTCCAGCAAACGTTGATCTCGCGTTACAAAAGGTTAGTTACTCAGAGCCGCCAGCACCAGCAACAGCACCAGCAACAGCACCAGCAACAGCACCATCAACAGCACCCGCAACAGCACCAGCAACAGCACCAGCAGCAACAACACCCACAACAGCACCCGCAACAGATACAACAGCGGCAGATACAGCAACACCAGCAACACCAGCAGCAGCAGCAGCAGCAGCAGCAGCAGCAACAGAGACATTTGCAGCAACAACAGCAAGCACAACCGCAACTTGCAGGTCACCCACAGCAAGTGCCATCACAGGACGTGGCCAGAACAACCGCCATGGCCCGACAGCAGACCGCAATTGGCCATGTTAGAATGATGTCTACCAACTTTTCTCCAACACAGGCCAGGATGCCGATACCGACACAAAACTCTCCGACTGAAGGATTTGGCATGTTTCCGTCCCCGTCGGGCCCAAATCTGGCCAGGATGCCAAATCTCTTCACTCCGCCTAACGTACCACCACAATACATGCTTCGTGGCCAACCCCTGACTCCAACAGGCTCGCCTCACTATGGCAGCATGCAGTTGCCGCATGCTGCGAGAGTGGCACAGGCTCCAGGGCAGACATCTCCAGTTCTCCAAGCCCCTCCAGGCGGACTATCAATGTCTATGCCAGCCCTGACATCGCCCACGCGGGCCATCGCCCCCAATGGCCCACCAGTTCATGAGTCTCAAGCTATTCACGATCCTCCACATCCTCATTTTCAACCTAATAACCAAGACCCTCAATTTCTCCAGCAAACTCTGAGTGCGGATCGAATGCGTCAAAGGTCTCGGCAAATGCAGTTTGCCCACCACCAAGCTCGTGCTATTGTGCAACTCCAAGCTACGAATGTGGCCGCTTCGAGAACGCAACCGCTTCAACCCCAGCTTCCTCCACCCCCCCAACTCATGCAGCAGGGGCCGTCTCATGAAGCGTCTGTACGGACACCACAGTTGCAGCACATGCCTTCTCCTCAACACGTTGCTTCTATGTCGCAAACGAGTCCACAAGGCTTAGGGATGACTCAGGGAGCTGCGAGTACCCCCATGACACGGCCCTCTTCAAACAGCGTATGGCCCAGTCGTGACGCAGCAGGAAGGCTCGTAGGCAATGTTTTCCGCCCACGCAACGTACCGATTCCACTAGACCGTATACCTCATACCCCATGGGAGCCAAAGGCTGTAGGAATCGCACTTCACCAAGTCCAACTTCGGAGTCCGAGACGAGTGCCGCGAGACTTACCTGGAGCGGAAGGCCAGGCGACACCGATGAGGTTCTACCAGTCCATCAAAGGGCTAGCCGTTGGCCCGATCGCAACACCGGCCAAGCACTGCGTACACCGTCTTGCCTTTGTAGTGCCCGATGAGTACCGCAACAAGCTCTGCCCGATGCGTACTTTGATAGGTGACTGTATCCCTGTCTCGGAGTACTTTGAAGGGTCTCTACGATACCGTCTTCGTCTCTGCGAGTTGCCGGTCAAACTGGACGAGCCGGCCAATATCTCGGAGTCTGTATGGGCAGTAGCGCAGTCCCACTGGCCCGAACATATTGCCATCATGGTCAATGGCAACGCCGTAACGGTTCGCCGAAAGCAACATAATGGGCAGCACCTGCCAGTCGAACTCACCCCACATATACTACCTGGCACAAATTCAATATCTGTCAGCATCACTCCCATGCCAGCGACTCAAAAGCCAAACATGATGTATTTCATGGCTGTTGAGGTGGTCGAAACCCTGAGCCACGACAATATTGTCAACATGGTCCTGAGACAAGGCATCATCTCGGCGGAATCAACTAAGAAAGCCATTCAGAAGCGTCTGAAACCTGCATCTGCCGACGGGGACGACGAGCTAGTCGTGGTTGGCAACGATCTCAGCATTGATTTAGCCGACCCTTTCAGCGCCACGATATTCAATATTCCGGCGCGCGGCGTTAATTGTACGCACATGGAGTGTTTTGACCTCATCAATTGGCTGCAAACCCGACCGGTCAAGCCCAGGTGTACCGCACACGGGGCCGGCGATGCATGCCGCGTTTGCAATCGCGGAACTGAAGGGAGACCTGAGCCTTCCTTGGTTGACAAGTGGAAGTGTCCTCTCTGTGATGGAGACGCTCGCCCATACAGTCTTCGAGTTGACAGGTTCATGGAGGAAGTTCGCATGACCCTCGAGGCAGAGGGAAAACTTCACACGAAAACTATCTATGTGACGGCAGTTGGATCGTGGAAAGCCAAGGAAGAAGAGGCAGATGACGATGATGAAGAAAATGCGGAGTACGGGCAACCGCCGGCCAAGCGGACCAAGAGACGACTGTCGGTGCCAGAGCCAGAAGTCATCGAGCTGGACTGATGGTGAGGAGGACCAGACTCTGGGAGGTATGAGGCCGGAGCTATCGGCGTCTGAGAAGGAGCGTCGGAAATGTTCACTTTCCTTCCTGATGAGAGACTGCTTTTCATTTTGCTTTGCGCGGGCATTGGAATGCCGCAATGATACCATTTGCAATATTGGGGCGTTTTAGGGATTCGCGACGGGGTGTTATACCCTGCATAAAGGCCTTAAGGGGCGTCGCGTCATGAATAAATTCAGAGAGACAACATGATGTTAGATGTCGAAGTCAAGTGATAATGATGACGGGTGCTAAAAGCAAGTGTTGTAAAGCCTTCAAATCATACGTACAAATACAGACAGCACGTTAATATCAACCACGCTGCTATCTTATCGTTTTGAGACGGGCAATCATATCAGAGGCATATCTCGGACCCAATTCAAGACGTAAGCCGTGGATACACGATTCCCAATCATCTGAAGTTGGTAGAGGTTCAAGCTTTGTGCAGCATCCCGCATGGTGTCTATTTAAGGTGCGCCCAAGGTCGGTAATGTCGGCAGGGTGCGGACTGAGGTAAGACGACTGCCAACAAGGGAGCGGCAGCGGCGGTGATTGGGTCAAACGCCCAATGACATCAACCCTGCCAGAGCTTCAACCTAACACATGCGCGGTAGTGACTTTGCAGTCCTCGACTCGACTGGAATCTCTGACTGCGGGATAAATTGACTTGCCAGCCGTGAAATACCTACCACCTCAGGTGCTTTACTTGGGCCGTCCTGGTAGGAATTTGCAATAGCTGTCATCCCTTCCCTTGCGTAAGGTTGGCTCGAGACAGCTTGAGCTTTTTGAGCTTGGGCCAAAGTCTCGCGGCTCAGTAGGGCACTCCAACTCCAGCTTGGCCCCAGAAGCTGGTCAATCGTCACTCAGCTCCAACGGCAAGGCTTGGAGGAGGGCTCAGCCACACGCGTCTACGTTGCCTCCTTGTCGACCGCACGCTCTCGTCTACAACCTACCGCCTATTACCTGGACGCCGAGACAGTGAGTCGCCCAGGCTTTGACCACTGCATATCCCGTGGCGACGCAGACGATACCGACGACGCCGGCTGTAGGTAGGCCCTGCCTCTTCCACCTCATCCGGCAGACTCCATCTCAGTTTCTCAGGGCCTCTGATGAACTGAAGCGAAACTTCTCCTCACCCTTTCTTTGCACTCGGTCTTGGCTACCTTCCTGCACCTCTATACCTGACGTCAAGCATTGCACGCAGTCAAGAAGAAGAAGAAGAAGAAAAAAAACCTAGAACCGGGGGGGAAATTACACACCACCCCACCCAAGTTGCTTGGACTGGACTGTCCCCTCATTCCCATTCGGAGCTCGCACGGTGCGATACGTTCGCTCAATTGAGGTCGAGGAACTGTTTTGCGACGTCTGGAGCGCCTGTTCGTCTGTGCCTCATCCCACTACCGACCGGCAAAACCACCATCTCGGAGGAAGGTGACAGCATCTTACACAAACGCACTCGGTACCTGGACAACACCCCACCACCCGGCTGGCAACATCTCCCACACCACCAACGACGGAATTCCTGTTGAGCAAGGAAAGCGGAGTGAACGAGCACCCAAAACCCACAACCATGTCCATCAGAATAGCGCTCGACAATGCGCCAGAGTTCTACACCAACCTAGACAACGTCAAGGGCCGCGTTGTGCTGCACCTGAGCCGGCCAGAGCAGATTGGCGGCATCGTCGTCAAGCTCGAGGGTGAGTCCAAGACGGCCCTCGGCCTGCCGCAGGATAGCTACCACGAGCGTAACACCCGGCCCGGAGGCGGGCCCGGGAGCATTGCGAGCGAGAACCACAAAATCCTCTACCGGGTCGCACAGGTGTTCCCGACATACGAGGAGGACCTTGGCGGCGGCGGCTCGAGTTTCTCCCAGAGCTACGTCATCCAGGGCGGCCAGCACGAGTTTCCCTTCAACTTCAAGCTGCCCATCAACAATGCCTGCAGCGATCCCGTCTCCATGTCCAAGATTGGTGGCATCGGCGGCATGGGAGGCTTCGGCGCCGGCATCGGACCCTTCGGGCTCGGCGGCGCGAGGGTCATGGACGGGAGCAAGCAGCTGTTCCTCCAGCACGTCACCAAAACCTTGCCGCCGTCCTTCACCGGGTTTCCCCGGCAGGCCGAGGTGCGGTACTATCTCAAGGTCACCATCCAGCGCCCGGGCTTCTTGAAAGAAAATTGGCGGTACCAGATCGGCTTCAAGTTCATGCCCATCGAGCCGCCCCGGCCCCCCAAGACTTCGCAGGAAGCGTTCGCCCGTCGGCCCTTCACCTTCAAACCGCGACCTCGGAGCTTGCAAACGAAAAAGTCCACAATCTTTGGCTCCGGCAGGGACGAAGGCGCCGGGAACGCCGATGCCGTGCCACCTTCAATCGAGCTATCCGCGCGCCTGCCACATCCCCCGATTCTGACGTGCAATCAACCCCTTCCGTTGCGGCTCATCGCCAAGAAGCTCATTCCGTCGCACGAGCAGGTATTCCTCACGTCCATCCAGATCGAGCTCGTCGGCAAGACCAACGTGCGATGCCACGACCTCTTCAACACCGAAGTGAGCAAATGGGTCGTCGTCACGCAGTCGGGCCTCAGCATCCCGCTCCTGACGGACCCGACGTCGGAGGACCTAAACCTCGAAAGCGTCATCCCGGATGACCTGTGGCGCACCATTCCGCTGCCCAACACCGTCGCGCCGTCCTTTCTGGCATGCAACCTCCAGCGCTTCTACGAGCTCGACATCCAGCTGGGCCTGTGCTGGGGGAAACCGCCCTCACGGGGCGGCTTCCTCAACTCCTCCAAGGAGAACCCGGCAGTGCAGACAATCTATCTCCCGCTGCACTTCTCCAAGGTGCAGATGTACTCGGGCATCGCCCCGCCGCCGCAGCTCCTTGAAGCCCTCGCGGCCCAGGCGAACCGGCCGGGCGCCGCGACGATGAGCATGCCGCCCAGGTTACCGCCGCGCACGGCGCAGTCTGCCCCCATGACGGCGACGCAGGGGAGGCCCCACGGCGGCCAGCAGCAATATCAACAGAGACCGCCGCAGCAGCACCCTTCGATGGCGGCGCCGCAGTATGACCCGCTGTATCCGCCTCAGATAGGCACGCCGGGGGCAGCAAACTTTGATGAGGCTCCGCCGAGTTACGACGAGGCTATGGCTGCAGAGGCGCCGGCGCCTGGGCCGGAGTCGAGGCCGGCGTATAGTGGCGTTACGAACGAGAATGCGCCGAGTCAGATTCCGGAGAAGGGGAATTAACATGGGTGGGAATGAGAGTCCGGGGGCGTTTTTTTTTTCTTTTTCACTTCGTTTGTGATGTCTCACACCTGGGCTCTTGGAGGGACGAGTGCAGGGTTTAGACTTGAGGATACCTTAGGGGGAATTGGTGAAGCAATATCGGATTTTGTTTAGGTGTCTGAGAGGGACTGTAGAAGAAGCCTGGCAGATGGGCATCGACGTGGGAAAGGGGAATTTGATAGATTGGTGAAGCGTTTCGTTTATTATACCATGATTCATATTGAGGAACATTACACTTTGAACCAGATGACCCTGTAAAATGGGATGCCCTGAACTAACCTGGACATGCCCTCTTCACCGTAAGGTGGTTATCCCGCCAACCTCCCGATGCTGAGCTACCAAGTATGGATATTGGCTATGACACGTATGTATACATACTCTCAAATTCCAAACGATGTATGTACTGCTTAGAACGCTATGGGTGCTGACCTTGGAAATGAAACCATGCGTGGTCAGCCGGTGTATAAGCAATATGACGCCAAGAATGGAGCTGATGTGACAGTCGCGCCCCTCTCCCTCCTCTCAACAACCATATAATGATCGAGGTGTCGACTGTACGGAAGAAGACTGGGTTCCTCAGGTCATTACCACATACTTGGATCTGAAAATTTTCCAGAGATCGAGGTACTCGGCGACTTGGGCTGCGTACGGAGTGTTGACCACCAAACCCACCTTGCACGTTTGGCGCCTAGGGAATGTTTCAACTTGGAACGTTTTCATATAACAGAGCAATGACGAGTAACCATCGTGCTGGGTTGTCTTTGGTCACTTTGGTATCAAGGGGCGATGATAAGTACGGAGACAGACGGTGGACCGATGAAGATGCAGTCAGCATGATAATCAAACCGCCATCATAGCACCATCCTCTGCAACCATGAAGCAAGCCGCTGCTCTCCACGCAACAATCCGCAGAGTTTATGGGATTAAGCTTGTATTCATGGGGGAATTTTGAACTCAACCCGAGCTCACGTAGCTTTCTTGGTCCAGCTCCATCTTCGCCTATAACATCTTCAGCCAGCCTTGAGGTTCCTGACGAGATTACGACGAGACCCAAGTTAAACTCGCGCACGCCATGTTTCCCGTGCGTGCTTCATACAGCATATCGACTTCTCAATTTTACACTACCAAAGATGTTGCATAGGTCATCTGAGATATACGCGTGGGAGTCTACGTATGTACTATTTGGATTGCTACGTGTGCCAAGGGTAGTCTAAATATTGCAACAGCCTCCGGACTTTTCTAGTTTCTGTACACATAAAAGGTCTTCCACTCCCACTTCGATTTCGCTTGGAATGATTTAGGGGTTTTGTACGGCGCTATAGTGCTCTCGAGTGGCTTCAATGTTTGAAGCGTTTTTACTTTTCTACGATCCGCAGCATCTCTTGCGCAAGCTTCAGCGCTGAGAGGTTGTTCCATCAAGCTTAATCATCTTCAGTCACACATCCATTCAGGAGCGAATTTCAAGGCGGCGATAGGCGGTGGGGACGCACCACCTGTGGCATCTCATACAATCTTTATTTCAGCACCGCCGCATGATGATGGCGAATAAGTCAACTACAATTCGACAAACTCGTCTTTGGATGGAACGGATGCGAGCGATGCAGCGTACATGATTTGACGGAAGCTACATGATTCTTATTTCGGCACCAGGAGATTGAATATGGATGGGCTGGTCGGTACATGTTGGTAGTCTCTTCCAGGATTACGCCGCGGGCTTTCTAGTGAAAGTAGCGTCACGTCCCCGATTTGGTACAGCTGTTGCGGCTCTCTCTTTATCGACATGTTTCCGTAGCGCAATCTCTACGTATCAGCAACTGGAACTCTGCCATATCCACATGTCTATGTCTACCGCAGAAGGTGGGCACATTGGCCATGCTTGTTGTTGCGTGTTGCAGATTCTCAACCTTTGGTGCCATCTTGCGGCTCACTAGTCCAAGAAATGCAATGCTTCTCAATAATTACACGTCTCCTGCATCTGATCCGGCCGATAACGCCGTTGCTCGCAATATCTATCCCTTACCCTCTCATACTCTTACACAATTTTTAGTAAGGGCTTAAGTCGTTGCCAGCGTCATTGTACAGACCCCTTTAAGAAAGCCCATCTCATATCTCATACTCATACACACAGGTATTGACCGTATCGCCGTCTCATAAACCCTCCTTGGCCAACATATCTGCAATGTCAAGATAAAACGCCACAGCATTAAACGTCCTCGTCTGCCCCATCCACACTTTTCGCAACGTCCACTTGAGCCGGTTCGACCAGTTGATCAGATCCAGATGGCTCACATCTAGCAGGGTGCCCTGGTACTTCCCCCACCGGCTGCTCGCAACGCTGACCAGCCCGTCATTGGCGCCCTCCGCCTCCTCAATAACCCAGTGACTCTGCCGGAACGGGCTGAGCAGCGGCGGCGTGTCCGTGCAAGCGCCATAGCTGAAGTACCGCACCTCGTCGCTGTCGGGCGTGGCGGGGTTGAACTTGTCCTCCATGTACCGCTGCGTCAGCTGCTCAAACGCCTGGGTCCCCAGCCCGGCACGCTCAATGAGTCCGTACAGGTTGGCGAGCTTGATGGGGCCCTGGCCGTCGAGGAGGTAATCCGCAAAGGCGCTGCCGCGGTGCGGCGTCGCGACGGTGACGAGGCTCAGGACTTTTACGTCGCGCGGCTTGAGGTGGGAGATCATGTACCGGGCGTCCAGGCCGCCCATGGAGTGGGCTACAATGTTCACGGCGCGGCCGCCGGCTTTGGCGGCGATGTCGGCGCCCAGCTTGGCCGCGCGCTCCTCGATGGATCCCGAGGGTGGGACGGAGGTGGTGATGATGTTGGATGGACCGGAAAGGGTGCTCAGGGAGTCGGATATGCCCCGCCAGTAGTGGATAGGCGGAACGTAGGCGCCGAGGCGCAGTTCAGAGAAACCCATCAGTCCATGGGCGAGGACGATGGGGTTCTTTGGCGTGTCTGCCTGCGTGTAAGTGTGGGTGGATCATTGTCATTGAAACGGGCGGGGGAACGGGGACTCGAACAGGGTTGGGAGGGAAGATGCTGGAGGGTAGATGCTAGAGCGTAGATGTAGAAGGAGGAAAGGATTGGATGGGGTAAATGGTACCATAGTGTTCTCTGACCACGGCATACTCGTCCGATATCTGTTTGCCCAGGTCTCTGAACCTTGGGTCACCGTCGTGCTTTGGCCGTAAGGGCGAGGCGGAAAGACACCGGCTATCCCGCGATGCAAGAGGGCGAGGCAAGCGAAGAGACGCGGTTGGCGCACAAATCAGCCAGGAGGAGGGCGCGCGAGGGCGGCACCTCGTGAGGCATGCGCTGTTCATGGCATGGAAGGAAGAGCGCAGGCCGCGGGGTGGTGGTGGTGGTGGGGGAAGTGTGAAGGTCTCAAGTTACCTTACTCGAGGAGGAGTGGGGGCACTCTCGTTCTGGTTCTGTTCAGTGTTTCCTCCCCTCTTTTCTCTGCCGGTTTGTTTGTTTGCTTGGTTTTTTTCTCGAGAACGTGAATGGCCGGGTCCAGTCCCTCGGGGGTTGCGACTTTTTTCTTTCTTTCTCTGTACAAGGTCGAAATGGTGTGTGGAACAGGGTTACTTGCTTGCGTGTGGTGTGCTGCGGAAGGGAAGGAAGAAACGCGCATTGCTGAGCAATGAGAGGTGTTTGCCAAGCATTTTTAAGCGCCCGGCTCTTTGACGTCACGCAGGGCCGGGGCCGCGAACAGTTTAGCGCGGCAACGGGGGGTTCATCGGCCGAGGGGTCCACCGTGCAGTGCGGCCGCTAGTGATTAGTGGACGGATGTGTCCCGCACAATCCACCACTTGGTCAGAGCTTCTTTCTTCCACTTCAGTCGCGATCTGCGCCCTTGTCGACCGGGGGTTGGCAAGGTTGGGATGGGTGCAGACAGTAGTCGTTGTTGGCCGTGGTTAGCTTTGCAGGCGTGGCGGCGTGCAGATGCTGCTCTAAAGTTTTGTCAATCTTGTTCCGCGTTCGGGTTCCGGCCTTTGATCAGAGTTCAGACTCTCCCGTCCCAGGTTCCCCGTCCAACTGCCAAAACCAACAACACCCCCCCCGGCCGTTGGTTCATCTCTTTGCTGTCGCCCTCCGCCGCCTCTTCGAGGATATGAGGGCGGCCGCATCATGCAAGCTGCAGTGCCTGCTGTGTGTTGCGGGCGTGCGCACACAGTTTGTTGCACTGCACCTGCCATGGCAGAGACAAATCTCGGGTACGTCGGCCATCGGGTCCTGGCGATCTGCCCTCTCATTTCCTCCATCCTCTCTTCTCTCACTGCACCTCGATGCTGCCGTTGGTCGGTCTTCGGAACCAATAAGCACGATACGGGAAACCCATAAGTCAGGCTCCGATCTCGAAACATGCCTAGCCCCCTCGGTGTATTTGCCCTTTCGCGAATGATATCCCACCGTGAGCTGTTTCCCCCGCTTTCTTGGGCTCCGTCTTGATTATTCCCCCCCAACCCCCAACTTGTCCACGGGTTCAAAGTATTGTGCGGCGTAGCAGCTCAGAGTTCAAGGGACTGGCTGTTAATGAACCTGTTCGACACCCTCCCGTGGCCCAGCTGTAGGGCAGATGAAAGTAATGACTGTTTTTTCTATTGGCCGACGGCCCTTTGCTCACCGGCCATCGTAGACCAAACATGGGCTCAGTGAATGACCACCCAATGTAACCACCTCATCTGCGCCGCCCGTAGGTAAACAGGTCGCAACCGCCAATCTTCCTGGGTGATTGGCCCAGAGCTCCTGCTGAAGAGGGCCCGGATCTGCAAACTTTCGACTGTTACACCGTCGAACCGTTCCGCTGGGACGGCTTCGCCCTCTCACGCCCGCCATCCACACCCACACTTGTGTTTGTTTGCTTGCCTGCCTCTATGACTTGTTTTGAGGCGTCTGCGTGTTCTTTCTCCCTCACGGCAACTGGGCCTCCGTGAAAAGCCACTCAGCCCTGCTTATCATTGTTCATCGATCAAATTGGATTCGTCTTATAGGTACCGTGAATGCTGCGTTGCCGGTCAGCGACGAGAGGTGCCCGTGAGGCTGCCCGGTTGGAGGTCGACTGAAGAAAGTTCTTGTTGGTACAACGTCTCTTCCGAAGTGGATGTATCCATAACGGATGAAACCGCGGAAGCTGATGGTGTGCCCGTTTGGATCGACCCCGGCCTCGTCCTGCGCGTACCTACCTCCATCTCCGTCGGGCCGCCCATCTCCATTGCCTCTGGCTTCTGCTGTCCGCAGTCATCCATATCCCAACCGTCGCGATTATGCAAACCGGTATGCTTGAATGGATGACCCATTACATACCTAGCCTTTGCCGCGTGTAGGTATATATCCCCAATGCCCAGCGCGCTTCTTCCTTTCCGGCTCCTTCTCTCGGCATGCCCAGCCATCTGATGGTCAAGCGAAGCAACATTCACTGTCGCCTGTCAAGTGGAACGTGAGCACAATGACAGGCGACTGCGGAGACTCGTGCCCCTACCCGGGGGGCTTTACCTCCTACTCGCCTTCGGTAATTGGTAGTGCCATCTTTCTGGTAGCCTTTGCGCTGCTCGTGCCTCTAGCCTTGTACCAAGGCTTTCGTTTCAAGACGCCCTTATTCGCTTCGACTCTGGCGACCGGTCTTCTTCTGGAGGTACTGGGCTTCGCCGGAAGATTGAGGCTCCAAGAGGATACCGCCAGCCGAACCTCATTCTCCCTATGGCTCATCGGTGCCATCTTGGGCCCTACTCTCATCGCGGCGGCCATATGTCAGATCCTCCCCCATGTCATCGCCCTGTATGGTCTTGGGATTGGCTTTACCCGACCAAGGGCTACAGTCCTGTTACTCATATTCGCTCTTGCCCTCGTCGTTGCGCTAGAAATTGCCGGTGTTGTGTCGGCTGTCGTTGGACTAGGTGGTGTTCAGGTACGAATCTTTGAAGGGTTCTGCTGCCCAAGAGTCTCCATTATTAACAGGCCTCCGCAGACACCTTCGATCCTTCTTGCAGGCTTAGGCGTCCAGATTCTGGCGTTGCTGCTCTTCGTCGGGCTGTTCCTTTGGTTTACCCAAAAGATTCCTGACCCAAAGCACATTGCGGTGTACCAAGCACCGCGTTTCAAGAATTTTGTCAAGAGTGAGTAGACTAATTGCTGCGAGGAAAACAGAGCCTGACAATCTCTTCCCAGTGATACCGGCAGTCGCTGTCGTCTTAATGGGACACACCATCTATCGACTCGTTGAGTTTTGGGACGGACTCGGTAGCCCTCTTCAGCGGTCGGAAGCCGCATCTCTCGTCATTGGCAGTGCTTTGCCACTGCTAGTCGCCTCGATTCTATGCGTATATCATCCTGGCGCATCTTTCGGTCGGGCTTGGAGTCTTACTTCGCCGCGATACCGATCTCTTTCTTTGCGGTCGCGCCGCCATGCTCCATCACCTCTTCATTCGCCAACTGCGCCTTGGGACGACCACAAGGGGCCCCGTCAGCCGGGCTTCACGGCCACACGGTTCCCGGACAAGAAGATGTCGCCCGTTGGAGTCGGCCCAGTTCCCTTGAGAGAGTCAACAATGGCAAGCAAAGTTGCTGGCAGCGCCGGGAACAGATCGATCACCTACCCCAGCCCCATCGCTTCAACACACAAGCTGAGCCCAATCGCCTCACAGCACAAACAAAGCCCAACGTACCAGGGTACTCAACAACAGCCGGCAAATCCGAATCGCTATAGTTCTAACAGGCCCAATATGAAGCCGATGGTAAACAGTGAAGAGCTGTGGTAGCCTGAAGTGGGCACAAGTAAAGAGTGCCTCGGAAGTAGGTGTTGATTTGTGCAGGGAAATTGCCTCTTTCATGCGGTAGCGCGGCGTTTGATATTTTTGGTGGCGGGAAATGCTGTGTTTTTGGGTCCTTTTTTTACCAGGATATCATTCTCCTGTATATACTTTGGGCGGCTAGAGTTGATCTCGAATTTTGTGTTTATCTACGACATCTGCGTGTCGAGATGTAGATGGCTCAAGTTTATAAAGTAAAAGCACCTGTGGCTCTCCTCCACAGAAAGTATGCTAAGCCAAAAGCTGCGCCTCCAAGGTGTCCGGCGTGTCCCACCCCCGTGTCTCGCTCAGTGCTCAGGCAGTAGGCATCCACGGCAAACATTCCTAGAACGACAACGCGCAAGGGAAGCACCTGATTTGTTCCGGAAAGACGAACCTTCATTGTAGGAAACATACACGCCAGTGCCGTGCCGAGACCAGTCAGGGCTCCGCTTGCTCCAACAGCCGTTCTCTCTGCATTCTTCTTTGCTCCCCGTCCTCTCCGGGCGTTGAGTATGTGACAAAGACAAGCGGCGATTGCACTCCCGAGGGATAGCGCAACAAAACGTAGAGGTGATACACCCAGTGAGTAAAACGACTCAACGTAAGTTTTATACGTTGACATGTTGACAAATAGGTGTAAAGGCTGGATATGGCTAAAGGCCGAGGTGAAGAAGGTGAGTAGGCGGGGATGACTTGAGTTGAGCATAAAGTACTTGTGTAGAAATTCTGAGAGACGCCTGCGGTCGACTGGGAGCGAAGAGAAAATGGGATGGAGGGCAGCCAGCCAGGCGAGATGGATGGCGACATTGGCTAGGGGAACTCCGTAGAAGAGAGCAGTCCAGAGTGGTCCAAGATTGCTGGGTCCGAACCTTGCGGGATACCGAAAACTTGAGAATGATGCCATGGTGAGATTCACTTCGTAGGGAAATAATAAAATACGGAAACGAAGAGGTAGTAGACAGAGATGGAGACCACAAAGCGGCAGCTTCGGGTATAAAAGAACAAGAGACAGAATGTGTTGGACGTGCTCTCGAGCTTTTTGGTTGCACGGGTTGCACTGTTCTAAAGCTCTTGATTTCTGGAAGCTCTAGTCTCGAAATAGGTATAAAAATGGAGAGTTGTCAAAGAATATGTAGATCGGATAGAGTCTGAAAGGCGCGATGCTGACCCCTTGTGTCGAGTTACCTTGGATTTCGAGGTTCACGATGTTCCGTTTTCGAAAGGAGCCGACGTTGTCGTCTTGCATGCACGGGCCATGGGAATTGGAGCATTCGTGGTCCGTGCTTGGGGCAGCTGTCAACAGTGCTATACTCGAACACTCGCACTGTACTGATTCCATCAAGCTTCGTTGCTCCAAGTTTTCTCCTCGTCTCATTCCCGAAATTTGGACCAATACTTTGACTACTGAAATTACTCAGACGTCTCGCATTTGACCACTTGATACTGCCTCTTCTTCTTCCGGTCTTGGACTCTTGCCGAATGTTACTGGGATCGAGATATCTTTCTGCTGGGCAATGTGAGCAGCACCATCGCCCTTCTCGAGATCGACCATCTCGACATCTTCAGATTGGCCACCTGCAACCTCGACTTGCCCAGCGTCACCTCCCGGTGGTTGAATTCTGGCGCTCTGGCTCCGAACATAACCAGTACTTCGTGACCACCTGTCCAGAACGCTTTTCCTGTTGGAAGTCGCCGTGGACGTTACCGTATTTCTCTTGCTTGCGGCGCCTGTGCTGTCCAATTGACTGCGCATTCCTAGCATCAGAGTTGCATGCCGGAGTAGAGGCTGCAGCGCTGGAAAACACCCAACCCAAAGACCGACATGGAGCTCAGCGTCGGTCCACGCAGCTACAGTCAGCATCTTGTACGTGCTAATCTGTGTCAGCATGCTCAACATAATAGCTAAAGGAGCACTTACGTATTTACGCTGAAATCTGTCGTGACGATTATGGAAAAGCGAACGATACCAGTGATGACGGCAAATATACCCAGAGAAAACACGAGCAAGATTTGTATGGCCTTGACGCCCACTTTGACGTAATTCGTCACGACACAAAGCGGAAGAACGACCAGCATGCAGTCAACAAAGATGCAGATGATAGCATAGGCCAGCATCATCGATCGCTCCTCGCCTTTGTCTACGCATTGCCGCCATGTGCTGGAATAATTGAAGACATCACTATGGTAAAGAATCAGCAAAATCATTCCTTCTAGTTCTCAGGAGGGGGTTTGACCCACGGTATCTGCGAGCATTCTGTCAAGACAAAAAAGAACCCCGACAGACTGCTTATGACAACGATGGCATTGAGGGCATATATGCTCCACATATACACCTCTGGCATCGAACATCAGCACCAAGCCTTGTGGGGGACTAAGTTTATCATACTGTTCTTGCTCAAGCGTGGTAGAAACGCTAATATGGACAATCGTACTACACCAGAAGCAAGGAAGTAGACCAGTTCCATGATGGAAAGCCTCTGTTCGCAGTAAGTCAGCTCTGTGGAGAAATTTAGCGAGGCGTGCCCACTGACCTTGAAGAATTGCAGCAGCGTCGGTCGGGGAACATCTTCGATCTGGGCCCCAGTGCCATAATTGGTCGTGTCCATCTCAAGGGCCGAGAGCGTGATGCACAAGGCCTGGTTCCAGAGTTAGTCGGTTGCATCCACTACATGCAGAATAACGCGACTTCACCTACCCAGGCTAATATTGCAAGGAAGTCATCCCAACCTAGGGCTTTTGCTATGATCTTTCGCGTAAACAGTCGAAGGGAGACGAATATCGTCGAAACTATAATCAGAGCTAGGTTCAAGTTGAATTCGTGGTGCCCACCCGAATTAGGGTGGTACAGCAAGGATTCTCCGACAGCAGCAACCATGATGAAGTCATCAACTGAACGTCGTTGGATCTGAGTGCTTCGAAAGCTTCGAGTCTTTTGCCATTCATGGAAGGAAGAGGCCCAGATCATGTGCCGGTTATCCGAGAGACGGCCGGTGCTTATAATGAACCATGATCGCCAGCGTGCAACGAGTCCCAAGCACGTGGGCTACGGAAACGTCTATAGACGAGAAGGGCGCACTTGACGCCCAAGAGACACGCCAAGCCCCGTTTCGAACATTTTTTTGTCTAAATGCTGACGTATTTAGCCTATGGACAAATACTAGAGTCTACAGAATAGGTAGGTATGAGAGACCTCTGGAGACGAGGTTCAGACTGGGACACATGTGTCGACGAGCCAGAGCAGTTGCCGGAATCGTCAATCGCCACTAGCTCTGGAGTTCAAGCCTCAACCCCAGTCTCAGAAGCTACTCCTATAGCCGGAGAGGCCTGAAGTGGCTAGGTTGGCTCAAGAACGTGACGAACACTCTGTCAAGTGAACAAGCACTAGAGCTCGAAGATTTGGCAGCCGCGATACACCATCCAATGACTTTCATGCTTACCAACGGTAGAATGATGGGGATGAGCTGCCCTTCCACCACCTGCAGAGCCTCCAATTCTGTCGTTATCATCAGGCAGATCACTTCGCGCAGTAGCAGGAGTCGCCATCTGTATTAACCTTCCGTTCCCAGAGGCTTTCGTCCTTGTTTCTTTCCTTTCCTTTCATTTACTGTCCCACTATAACGTTTTCCGGCAAATCTGTCGAACGGCTGGACACAGTTCTTTGGCAACGGACGCAAGTAATAGTCTACTTACTAGTTATGTAGAGTACTTTTCGAAAGCTTGGCCTGGACCCTGATAATGACTTGACGAAAACGTCAACATTCAAATTTCAATAATTATCTGCCGCCTGCCTCAAAGATCTTAAGCTTGACCTCCTCGGCTGTCACCGAACAATGTTCATCGCGGACAGAATAAGTTTCGCATTAAACGTTCAATGGAACACATCGGGCTGTGCTTAGTCATGCCCAAAACAAATGCGCATTCCTCGTCATTGCCGCGTCCAGATTCTCCCTTTAGAGACACTCAAGTCTCACCTTTTTCCACATAGCGTGCCATTGGAAAAGCCCAGTGCCCTCTCATCAATAAAACTGGCAGGAAACAGGCTTTCTTTGACAGATTGCACCTCGGGCTACATAAGTCAGCAGGGAAATCGGGCAGCGATCCAGACGATTTCGGTATCTAGAGCCAGGCAATTATTCAAAGATTCAACATTGTTCTATTCTATTGACTCAAGTTTCCTTTCGGCAGCTCTTGGCAGGCGGCGCCCTCGACGAACGCGGAAATCGCTGATCCATACCAACAAGAGATCGGGCATCTTGGCCTGATTCTGATTCCACACCCTCCGTTACTTGTTCCGCCGGCCCGCGGAGAGGGGGCCAAAGGATTTCGAGAATTTCACATCGAATCATCAGCTTCATCACCTAAATCCGAAAAGCCGTTCAGAGCAGCTGGACAACTGCCGCAAGTTAAGGAGGTCAGAGTTGAGGAAAAATCTCTCGTTTTATTCACTCTTAGTTAATTCCGAATCAAAGGTCCTGCGCCAACTTCATCCCTTGCAGCACCCTCAGCTCTGTCAACCTCGCCTTCACTCCTCAACATTGCACGACGTTTCATCTCGTTTGCCTTAGAAGTAAATTTAACCGAATTCTGTATTTCACAGCCCAGGACTCGGGCCTTTCAAAATAAGTTGCAATAAAATTGGAAGAAGAAGCAAAGGGAGAGAAACACATGCAGGCTCCCTCCGTGGCACACCAAACTAGCATATCGCCGTTTTCGTCAGGACGCCCAGCAAAACCAGCTTTCGAGCCGCACAATACCAGGCACCAAGTTCTTTCCTAATGAGTAACTCGTCTCAATCCGACACCGCCACTGCTACCGACTCCATTGCCCAAACCGTCAACGCCCTTCTACTCCGTACATACGCACTGCTGCAAACACCTTTGTCTGTCCTGAAACTTCACCAGGCCCTCAACTCTGCAGACCAGGCCCTCGCGATAGCGGCCCACTCTCACCGCTTCGACCTCGAGCCTCGCGCTCACTTGTACCGCGGCCATGTCCTGAGCGCCTGGGGCCGCTGGCGCGAAGCGCACGCCGCCTACGTCCGCGCTGCCAGCGTTAGAGGGGTCGGGTTCACTGGGACAGATATCCGGGGCTTGACGAGGGATTGCATAGTGATGATCAAGTTTGAAGCCGAGAGAAGTCAGAGAGCGAACCGCGCTCTCGAGATGGAAAGCAAAGCGAAGGACGGATTGAAGATGGTGCGGTTTAGGGATGAGGAGGTGGTTCTCAAGGCCTTTTACGATTATGATGATGATAATGACAATGACGACGACGAAATGCAATCTGACGCGAGCCAGAGTGGGTTCTGCCTTATTTTGAACGGTGACGGAGAAGTCGTCGGTAGCCGTGAGCGTCTGCCTGATCTGAGGCGTGTACGCGGTAGATCGGTCAGCAGATCGCCAACGCTACGAGGATGAAGGATGGGATAATGATTGGCATTAAGCTTGTAAGAGTAAGGGTTGTAAGATGTGGAACGTTTACTGCTAAGCGGATTCATGTGAGAAACCCACATGATCAATCCAGAAGAGGCTCGAACAATACAAAGATTGTCTGATACTCCCTTTCCTGGCTGCCTTTGTGAGCTCGAACTATTGAATTCCTTGATGATGCCATGGACGTCTCGGCGTATCCTTTCACAACAGAAGCATAGGCATCAACGTCTTTTTGTTCTGCGCCTGCCTCCCTTGGAAGGTTATCGTAACATTTAACATCGAACATAACCCGGTCCAAATGCCACTATGATGCTGTACGAAGATACGAGGAGAAGCTCTGATGTCGTTGAGCGTTGGTTCAATGGTTGATATAACCAGGAAAGTCCTCACAGTCGTAAACTTCCTGAGGATCTCATGCTCAGCTTTCGTCCGTTCTGGCTTACACTCTCAACTTTAGCCTCAATAGATTGACTGTTCCTGATGATATCTGAACAGTAGCCTCAAACATCATGGCTGAGGAAGACAAATCAGCACCTACAACGCCCAAAGGAGACGACCATAATAATGGGGGCGATAGTGGAGATAAAGTCACGACGCCCTCGCACTCTTCCACGCATATCTCTTCTGCTGCGGGCCGCAAAACTCCGCAGGCGACAGTAGACAAATCCTCAGCCCCCCAAAAACTCTCGCCACGGTCAGACTCAAAGCAGCAAGCAATCCAATCACAAGTTCATGGCCAGAGCCAGTCTTCTCAAGAGAGACAACAGCTATCGGACAAGCAAAACGTCGAGCCCGGAGGGACGGATCCTTCCTGCCAAATGACTACCAAACCGAGGCTTCTATCTGACGCCCTGGCTTCATTACAATCCGCACTCGATGAAGATCTTGTCCCGCCTTCCCTGGAGAACATCACTGCGACATCGACAAATGGGAATCGTCAGAGGCGTAAGCCACTTGCTGCAATTGTTCTCAGTAACGATTCGGATATTATGAGCCCCCTCCAACTCACATCATCCGCCCCTCGTCCGCAAATCCGGCCGGTAATTGCTACAATAACGGCCTCGCGAGATTCTGAGGGAGAGTCCGGATCGGTGGTCGAAGGCTGTATAGAAAAGGGGGCGGCTGTCGATAGAGAGGTCCGCGAGGTGGGAACAGACGCTGCTGCCGCTGGCCCTGCTCGCCTTCAACGAACTCCGGATACGAACGCTGCGCCCCTACAAGCCTCTCGTCGCCCCTTACCCCCTTCACCGACCGAGAAAGCCTTGGAATCACAGTCTGAGGATGCCTCATTCGGGAGATCGCCCAGCACCCCTCCTTCACGTTTTTCGCTGTTGACAACTGGCCTGAGCCATGAAGACGCCAGAAGCAAAACTGATGATGGCGAAGGCGAGAATAACTATCCTCTCCTCTCATCGCCAGTCTTGAAGGAAGCGGAGCCCTTGGCGTCGGGGTTCAGTCCGAGAACCCCTAGACCTCCGTCTGCGAGACCTTTGACACCGAGGAGGCGGCTGGCAGCGCGTGAGAGGGCGAAGAGGGGAATGGATCGTCAGCCCAATTCAGAAGTTATGGAAGAGGGACCGCCATATCCTGAGAATCCCATGGTAATCCCTGTTTCAAACCGTGGCAGACCAGAGCCTTCTCAAGAAGACACGCCTACTGGAGAAATCCATGCCCGAGACCGGGGGGTTTCTCTTGTGTCACCGGTCATCCTTACGCCTAAGCCAACCAGACCCGGTGACATCCCAGAAGTCCTGAGGTCCCACCAGCTGGTCTCGTCCTCGACTCCCAGCCAGAAGAGCCAACGACAGCATAGTTCCCGTCACTCGTCAGAAGACACTGTAGTTCCGCCCCTGCCCCCAGTTCATCAAACCCAACGCTGCCGCCCAAATCAGCAGCTCCCCGCCGCTCTGGGTGCCTATAACACCGAGCCGGTTCGCGAAGGCCCCGGCTTCAACCTCCGCCGCATCTGGGCCCCAGCCCCAGGTGAACCAACCCGCACACACATCTTCATCCGTCCCCAGCCCCTTCCCGGCGGCGACGAGGAACGCACAATGATTATCAAAACCTGGAACGAAATCTTTGCCACGATGCCCCCGGAATTCCAGTCGATGCTCTCGAGCCGCCTCCGGTATCCGAGCTACACCCGTGACGTGGCAGCCCGCTTCAGGAAAGAGGAATTTGAAAAGGCAACGGGGGAAGGCTTGTCCTCGGACGACTACTACGCCCTCTTCGATCTCGAGACCTCCAACGACGGCATGATTTCCGCACTGCTGGAGTGGATGCAGGGGCGGACGTGGGTCAAGGTGCAGTACGTGAACCGCATCATTCACCAGCTCTGTCGGCTGATGTACACGTCCGCTCAGGAGGAGGCTCGGCTACGTCTCACATATCGACAGGGTATGGATTCTTTGATTGAGAAGCTCGATGAAGTTGAAGTGAAGTGCGCGGCGGAAAGGATGCTGCGGGCCTGGGAGCGGTTGGACGAGTCTATGAGGGGACAACACAATTTCATCAGGCAAACCCTCACCAGGAATGGTGATCACTGGGGTCATATTCCCGGGGTTGTAGTGATGAGTGGATGCTCAAGAGATGTCAAGCACTGGGAGAAACTCCTCGCGACATCACGCGCGCTCGCCCTCAGCCACCACAGGATCGAGGAGACTATCAAGGATAGAATCGACGACAATGGTGAGGTTCACAAAGAAGATCTTGGGCAGCTGCAAGAGATCCTCAGAGACATGGAGAAGAACAGCAGGGAGGTGAACGAGTACTTGAGCGCCAGAGGCCAAGGGGACCAGGTGCAGAGGATGTTCCAAATCGAGAACAAAGACCTAGTTGACTCTCTGAGAGTCTTCAACGACCAAATCAAACGTGACGATGACGAGCGTAGGTCTGCCGTCATGGGATTCACCAGAATTGCAACTCACCAGTTGGAGATGCGCCAGAGATATGCTCAGAGTATAGACAACGGCGTGGAAAACCTTTCGGAACCTACGATTCCCGCATTGTTTCAGTCATCAGAGAGGGTTGACAATCATGAGCTGCCCCCACTATCTAGTGAAATGGGCTTCAGCGCTTCCCAGACGGAGATTTCCATGTATGATATCTCATCAGCGTCGGCAGCATTCGAAATTACCGCAAAGCACGAAACCCCGCCGCCGTTTGCCCGCGATGGAGGAAGAATCGTCTTGACCCCCGGGGGCAGGCGGGTTGTAGAATTTAGGGGTACGGTAGTACCTCGTCAGCCGAGCCCAACATTCACAGATCCCTTCGCCAAAACCTGGACAAAGGTCGATTTGAGTGCGACAAGGCCGGAGTGTCCCCGATGTCCCACATTGGAGAGAGAGATCAATTCCAAACTGCTGGAAATCAAAGACTACTGCCGCATACTGAAGTGCAGGTTGGAAGAGAAGTTGAAGCTCGAGAACGCGCTCGAAGCCATGACTTATCGCGATATCAAAAGAGCAATGGAAGCCATTCACGCCTACAAGCAGCTGCTGGAGCGCCCAGACGTGCCTGAGTCTCTGAGATACACCGTGGAGATGTTGGGGATGCACAGCAAGCGAGCATCCGACCAGACCGGCCTGCTGGAAAGATCACTCCAGTTGGGGCAAGACGGCGAGTCGACAGAAAAGATCTTGGCAGAGCTAAAGATGACAATCCGAACTGTCAAACGACTGGCCAACGCCAACCTCGAGCTCAAATCGCAGATGACCCTTTACCTCGAGCAAGCCTATCCCAAGGCAGGAGACCAATCTAACTCAGACAAAGAGACCACACAAGAGAGTGCACAGCAGAACTGCCTGATAAAATCGTTGCAACGACAAGTTGAAGAGTTGTCGGAACAGACCAAGCATGATATGGAACAGCAAGCAACAGAGAAGCTCACGCTATCGCGCGCAGTCGAGCGCCGCATGAAGGAAGAGAGCGACCGCCTCAGAGCACAAGTTCAAAGTTTCCAGAACAAGGTTGAAAAAATGGAGGCTGAGGCTCAAGAACGAGACTTGAACGCAGAGCAGACAATGTCGGACCGACTGAGAGAACTCCACAAGGAACGCGAGACACAAGAGACGGAACTTCGGAATCTCGAAATCCAAAATATCGCTTTGGAGGAGCAACGGCAGAAGGCCGCAGAGAAGCTCGCAACCCTAGAGAGAGCCAAAAGAGAGAGCCAAGACGAACTGGAAAAACTTGCACGACAGACCAGGGATCTACAGATCAAGCTTCAAGCTAAAAGCGAAGCGGTCAAGTGGACATCATACATGACTGTTCCCAGGGCCGTTGATGACGACGCTAGCTCCGATCCCCAGCAGAGTGACAGAGTCTCTCAGCTGCGGACGGAGTTGATGTCTGCGCTTAGCAAGGCACGGTCAGAATCATATCACATATTTGGAGATCGGAAAATGAGGAAGCATCTGCCGGATTACATGCAGAGCGTCTTGTGGCCCGATATCAAAGAAAAGGACGGCACTAACGCAGGTGTCTGCCACTTCTGGAGATTAGCGGCTTTCGTGAGAAAGAGGAAGGAAGCTATTGCAGCACTTGAACATGGCGATTTGCAGAGCTTTCAGAGAGCGTCCGACTTGCTCGAAAGGCTCCATGCGTGGGACATCGACTTGGGCCCTTGGCAGACGGACGCCCAAACAGCAGAGGTTTGGCGGTCCATCAACCTCCTACGATCGTACGCCAACCTTGAGCTTGGAAAGATCGAAGGGCTCGATGCTGTTTCTCCGGACAGGCGTGAGGCCGCCAGGGAATTGTTCGATCAAGCGGTGGCTTCTGGTGACGCAGCAGAGACCAAGAAGCCATGGAGTTCCTTGCAGAACTGTCTAGAGGAACAGTTGCAAGGGGATGCTGATGACGCATCCGCCTGCGACTGCAAATTCAAACCTCGCCTTTGCCCCAAGCACCAGGCAAGCGGTGGACTCATGTTCCACAACTTTATGGAGGCAGACGGTTCGAGACAGGCGGAGATAGAGTTGACGCAGGAGGCGTCCGAGGTGCTTCAGCGATTTGGGCAGATGTTCAAGGTGTCGTCGCCGCTGTAGGTTTGCGCGACAGCGGAGGCATCCGGTAGAGATTGCGTATGCTCCAAGTAGAGTTCTGCCAGAGGAGGATGATCTGCATGGCAGTGCAGTTTGATATCGGGGAACCAGTAAGGAGCAAATGAGGGTGCATGCCGGGTGTTTATTTGTTTATCACCATCGAATTGCAATCCACAAAGACTTGGCGGCTTTTGCCGGGGGCTTGGTGCTTGTTTCAATGTTGAGAGATCCTGTTCTAGAGTCGGAGTTGACGTGGCGCATGTCTCTGCATCCGCGCGGCCAGCGCATTCATGTGTTTCCCCGTTGACCAGGGCCGCGAAGCATGTTGACGAAGCCAGCCTGGGTTGAACGTTGGAATCTGCCAATGACAAATGCGGAAGTGTGTGTCGACTGGGTTGACGTCGGGAGTGTTGGGCAGGCGAGAAGTCAAATTGATGTCGAGAAGCGGATGGTGGGGCCGGGAGGGTGAAAAGGGGGTAGAGGGTGGTTTGGGATTAACAGTGGTTACTGGAATACTATGGTCTACTGCTAAGTAGTGTGTCAAGGGAGGTACTATATTATCAATGCTTGCGAAAGTCCTTCCCTCGCCCACCTTAGCGTACCTTAGTTACCCGCGCGGGTGGATTGCTTACCTCACCATCGCATTCCACCCGAGACCTCGCTCTCTTCGCGACGCACTCACGCCCAGCTATCAACGAATCCACCATGGCTCTTCCTCGCGAATCAGCCCTCTGCGCCTCTCCCGCTTGTATGCTCAAACCATAGGTCAGCTCAACCCGATCTACCTTTAATAACTCCACGACAGACAGATCTGGACATTGTCTCGGGAACGGCATACCCACGAGCCTCAACCTGCATCGCCATTACGCATGTCAATTGTCTCAGCCCAAACGTGGACCTGGAATGACCAAGGGGTGTAGCTTTGATGCCTCGAAGATTATGTGAGCGGCACGCAGACACAGGCAGGATCCAGGCACCTACCTTGCGCATAGCTACATCTGCTGTGATGAAGGCACCTCTGGCACCCAACGAAAACGAATGCATTTGGTGTGCTTCAGAACCTGCCGCCTCCCACTATCACCGCCTTTCACCTCGCATCACGGCCGAGAGCACGTGCGCGAGCAATTCTGTCCTTCAGAGACCGAGTGGGCTGTCCGGAAAAGTAATAGCTAAGAAGCAACGGAGGCACCAGATCCATGACGGCCCAACAAGTCAACGGCTATATGCCAGCCCGCCGGATGGACTTGCATCGTTCCGGATCCGGCATATTGCTTGGACTCCGGCACAGACTATGGTACGCGTGGATCGAAGGCCGCTGCTCTCATCAAGACATTGTCTTCTGATGATGAATCAGTCCTTGGCCAAGGCTACCGGACTATCGGAGCCAGATGCAGGAGCGAGAGAAACGGGCAAGTCGTTACGCAACAAAAGTCTGGTACACGCGATGCTACGCAAATGAGCACGATACAACGGCATCCTGGCTCGGAGCAGCCATTCGCCCGCCTACTCTAGCTAGGCGGCTTGGGCAGTGTCACCGACCGAAAGCCTACCTCACGCCATTCGCCGCCGCCTTTTACAACAGATTGATTAGATTGATTGACCTGGCCCGGTCTCATTGGACCCCGTCGTCGGTTGATTTTGACGCACACCCACGCTTTCGCTTCGAGTTATGGACTTGCCCTTCTGACGCAGCGCGCGGCTGGTTCCGGCGATGGCAGATCAGGCCAGCCGCGTCGCGCCACAGTACACTGAGTTCCTGCTAGACCGTCAAACTAGAAGTGGCAGATTAGAGTAGTCCTGCATTGGCCAGGCCAGGCCAGGTCAGGTCCACGCCACTCCCGTCTGGCCCTGGCGCCTCTAGTTCATCCCGTCCCTGACGTGTAAGTCGAGGAGCCCCCCACTGGAACGTTGCCGTTTCGAAGCGACAACACGAGGCCTGTCAAGCCCTTGGCGACTTACCCTCTCGGGGATTAGACGCGGGTGGACTATGGCGAAGATCACGGCTAACGGGTCCAGGGCCTAATGCAGCAAGGTCGAGGGACCAGGGTCACCCTTTTAGCAGGTGACTCTGAGCAAGCAGGCAACATGGCGCTGCTGACAAGACATTTCAAGGATCTCACAAGGGATTTTTTGACTCGAGCTGTGCCCGAGAAATACGGCCCATACGAGGGCCATTTGCAATAATGTTTCTGTCCCATCTAGGCAAGTCAATCTATCTGCAAGATGCAGATAGGCACGCTGATACCGGAGCTCCACACTGGATGCTACTGTCTGGATGCGGTTTGGCGCCGGAAGCACGGCCTTCACACAGCCCTCAGCCATGACAGTGTCTGGCCTGTGAAGCGGACTCTGTCTCTGCTAGGCGTTGTCTCGTTGCTTTCTGCGGTAGGCTCAATTTACCCAAATTGTGTCAACAACCCCCGTACTTCCGTCTTTCGTTGTGTACCGGGCCGTTCGAGTCCTGGCGGCGGTCCACGGCATGCTGCAGAGAACGGGGGGGAGGCGGGCTGTTCATCGGTGGCCCATCTTCGCCCTCGCCGCGTGTCAATATCGATCTACCACTCTACTTTAACCTCAACGAACTCTGCCTGCGTTCCTTTCCTTGCCCTACCCTACACAAAAGTACCTCGTTACAGGCTATAGCCTTTTCCACCTCAACGTTAAAAATGCTAAGTGCTTTGTCAAGCTGACAAAACCGAAGTAGCCAGCCGGATGACGTGGAGCTAGACATTGCGGTCCTCTTGTTTCTCGTAGGGGAATCCATCTTCATCTAGATCCATGATCCGTGAGACCACCCTAGCAAACAATTTCCCCCGTCTTTTCTCGGCTCCCTTCCCGCTGTCCAAGTTCCCGCCCACTGCGCCTGCTGCGGAGGACAGGATGGGGTGAAGGTTACACCGGCTACCGGCATCGAAGGGCCCCGTCAAAGTTGGGGCCGCCATCTCGTCAATGGGCATGGCGGCGAGATGTGTCCACTAAAGGTGTTCGAGCCCTTTCAGCGGCCGTACGATGCAGTCATCCAGGGACAGTTCGAGGCTCTCCACATGGACCAAGGCTTGATTCGACTCTCGAGGGCGGGACGGAGAGATGGATCATACCTCATGAGGGAGTCACCTTTTCAAACGGGGCTTCGCCAACGATCGACTCATCTGGGGAACGTGGTGCTTGTCTCACATGGATGTTTATGGAGCTGGCAATCGGCCGTGGCATGCACAGGTCTTGGGCCCGCCGTTGTGTAAGTGCGTTGTAAGCACATGAGAGCAACTGCTGAGGGTGCATGTGAAGCGGGTGGCAACCCGCGAAGGGAAGGTCTAGACATACAATGCCACGGCTATCGCTGCAACATTCATCGGGAACCTTAGCTGATGGCTTTGAGTCGGACGGTGGTACCCCCCTCCCCTTCTTATCTCAACGTTGCTCTCTGACGCCCCAGATACGAATCAGGTAAGAAAGGGTGGACGGGGGAGACCAGGGAAAATAAGGGTAAGGGGAGAAGCCACACGGAACAAGCCACGGGAACTACGTCGGTTGACCGCATCCATCCAAGGACAGCGTGTAAGTGGGGGCATGCAGACGACTTGTGTAAGTTCACGTCTGAATTAAGATACTTTAGGATGGGAGGCCTTGGAAGTCTTTTTAGACTGTTGAAGGTTTTTCCAACGCCCCTCTTCTCGATCAGATACACCTCAACAGTAAGGTATGGGATGAAGGAAGAGCAAGATATAGGTCTGGAAACAAGCAAGGAAGGAATGCTGTGGGGGACCAGGCATTAGCAGCTCCTTCCTGGACAGAACCGCTCTTGCTAAACCTTATACTCTCAGATACCTCATACTATTCAGGTTTGATTTTCGTTTTCGTTCTTTTTTTGACAATTAAATCGGTTCTTGGCCACAAGGGTGGGAGGTATGAACCTAAAGACTGAAGGAAGGCACGGACTGTGTACCTCACCTCCTTCCCTGCCTAATCTACCTGGGCCAACTACCACCACCACTACTTGGCCCCCCTCCTTCATCACCTCACCTTGATACTTGCTCACATCACTTCACCTCAAATTTCTTTGGCTCGTGCTTTCCCGCTCCCGCATGCCGCAAACGGGGGCGTTCCAAGTTTTCTTCCCTCACACACACCTCCCTCTGCCGGGCCCGAGTATCCTCCTCCATCATAATACTCTGAGACCCTCCGCGCCTTTCTTATCGACCAGGATCCTTTCATCTCGCCACAACCCTATCTTTATTCATCATCATAACAATACCTCTTGTTATAAACTTGGCACGTTGTCAGTTTCTCTCGACTCTTCTGGTTCACTTTGACTCACATCGACAATCCAGCACACTTCGCTGCTCCTTCCTCCTAGGGATCACGAATAGCTTCACATCATTCACACCCAAACGACTCATCCAAAATGGCTGGAGGTACCGGTACCCCCTCGGCCTACCTTTTGCTCTTTGCCAAGCGAATCCAGATGAATAAGGAAGCCGTGACTTATTGGATCATTGTTGTCGCTGCTCTCATGGGTTTCTTTATCGTCTTCCATCACAGTCGTCTTGCTGCCTCAAAGACTGGTATAGCTGCAAAGCTGGGGGGTTTGGCAAAACCGTTCGTCGTTGTGTCCCGGTAAGACTTGGGAAACAATAATCTGCATCTCAGAGCAGCACAAAATTACTGACCACCAAATAGATCCCTTCGAAGAGTCACCATCCACAAGTTTCCTGGTTTGCCATCCAACGGCCACTTCCTCACTGCTCTCGTTTATCTCGCAGTCAACGTCGCCTTGCTTTTCACCCACATCGACGCCTCAGTTCTGCCGTACATCACAGTCATTGCGGCTCGTGCCGGATGGTAAGTCAAACAACACCTCATATCCCATCAGAATCATTGAAACCACCAGGACCTGATATTTCATAGGCTATCTATCACCAACATTGCCTTCGTTGTCTTCCTCAGCCTAAAGAACACCCCTCTCGGCTTCCTGACTGCCTGGTCCTACGAACGTCTCAACGTCCTCCACCAAATTGCCGGTTATGTCACCATGTCTCTCATCATCGTACACGGTGCTACTTACTCCGCATACTTCATTGAGTCTGGTAACATGGCACGCCTCCGAGTCAGCGAGGAGATTTACGGCATGGCTGCCGGTTTCACGTTCTTGACTCTTGTCCTTGCCGGCGCAATCGTTCGTCTTTGGTACTACGAGCTGTTCTACATCCTCCACGTGTCTTTCTTCGCCATCTCGCTGGTTATGGTCGGCCTTCATCAGCCTGATATGAGCAAGAAGATCATTGTCATCACGGCAGTTGCTGCTAGTATCTGGGTTGCCGACCGCGTCGTGAGATTCGTTCGGGTTGTCCTTTACAGCTTCAACAACAACGCCACCATCTACCCGCTCCCCCATGGCGGCACTCGTATCATTTTGAAGAAGGCCCCCCTTGGAGCCAGCTCTGGCGAACACTGCTTCCTCTGGATTCCCAAGATCCGCGCCCTCGAGATGCACCCCTTCACGATCGCCGCCATGAACCCCCTCGAGTTTGTCGTTAACTCGTACGACGGCTTCACCCGTGAGCTTCACGAATACGCCGTCCAGAACCCCGGTGCAACCCTCAAGGCCTCTGTCGAAGGATCCTACGGCACATTCCCCAACCCCGCAGAGTACAACAAGATCGTCCTGGTCGCCGGAGGCAGCGGAGCCAGCTTCACAGTAGGCACGGTCCTCAACCTGATCAAGAAGGTTGCGCAGGGATCGAAGCCGAGCGTCACTTTTGTATGGATAGTAAAGGATCCCGGTAAGTCAATCCTCGATTAACTTTGTCTCCCAAACGCATTAACTAATCGGGTCTCTCAGCTCGTCTCGAGTGGTTCGCCGGCCACCTGTCGACGATTCGCCAGGCCCTCAACGCCTCCATCCAGCTCTACGTTACCCGCGCGCCCGGAAGCCAGGATAATTCCCAGAATCCCAGCTCCAAGGAGGACCGCTCCCGCTCGGGCACCATCTCATCTGAAGCGTCGACCCCCTTCACCCCTTCGTCTGAGAAGTTCGAGATCACCAACGGTGTTCCCCAGCACCCCCCCAAGATCCTCACTGGCGCTCTATCCGACCTTGAGAAGTCCGGCTCCGAGTCTGATGCTACGTCTCCCAACTCTCCCACCATCCAGCAGAACAAAGCCTTGAACAGTTTGGGTAGTATCCCTGTCCACTATGGCCGCCCCAACGTCGTCAAAATCATTCAGAACGCCATCAATGAGACCTCTGCCGATCAGCGCGTTCTCATCATGGGCTGTGGTCCCGAGGGCTTGATGACGCAGGTCCGCAACACGACCGCCGAGTGCATCAGCACGTCTGGTCCTGCCGTAGAGCTTCACTGCGAGCAGTTTGGCTGGTAAGTCATGATGTTTACCCGTGGGAGAGATACTATGAGTAAAATAAGGGGCCGGCATGACTTGCTATCCATACCCTTAGTTTCATGTCGTTGATCTCACTCGACGAGATTCTTCATGTGCATACCTTGGTCTCCTTTGGTCTCTTTGTATGGTGTTGGATTATATAAGGGCAAAGGAATGAGGTTTTAGTTTTGCTCTTTTCTTGCATTTTCGCGGCAGCTTGGCAAGGAAATAAAGGATATGATGATTGGATCCTTTTGTTAGGGGTTTGGATCAATTCTCTCAGCGTGGGGGGAGAGAAGCCGAGAGAGACAAGTCATTTTGCCAAGAGCTGCCGCCGGTCTTCGTCGCGCGCGCGTTCATACCCTTTACAGAAGCTCGGCCTCATGGCCATACTGTATTTTCGATGATTTTAGAATAGTGGACAATGCGGGAAAACATATCTTCTAAACACCCTTTTCCGGGGAAAGGTGAAAATGTCTTCCATGGCCACTTTCCCCTTTTGGTTTCAGTGTGGAGTTTGGGAAAGAAGAATACTTTGCGGAATAATCTGAACCTTTGGGAAACTCTGAGGACGGATCTGGTAATCTCTTCAGGTTTTGACGACCAATGAGTTTGGGGTAAGAGCACATAATACCTGCGGGTTGTCTCGACGTTTTCAACGGTCGTCTGAAGTCCGAATCGTGATACCTCGCCAAGAACTTCTGTGAGGAGAAGGAGGAGGTGGGGGGCAAAGTAGACGGAAGAACAGTCCTCCTCGACCCCGGAGCAGCTCCTACTGCGTCGAACTCTAGATTGACCACCTCAGGCTGAGCCAAGACAAGTGACGATCCATCCGAGTTCCTATCAAAGGTTACTCGCAAGTGCGCTGTCTTTTTACGCCGCCGCCAAGTACAATCAGGTCTCCCGGGTCCCCGGTCCGGCTCACTCAAAATCCTCGGGCAATAAAACGACATGTACCAAGAATCACTAGCAAACGTACCAGGGAAATACAAACACCACGTCAGTGTGTTTCCGAGTCACCTTTCTCCATGCCATAGGACACCCCCAAAATCTCCGCTTAGCTCAGCCCGGCAATACTGAGAGAGCGAGGGAGAGAAAAGGAGGGCTAGGAACTGAAACCCCACAAGAACCAGCACAACTCGAGCCGGCCCGACGAAACATTCGTCACGAGCGAGCGACGTCCATGGAAAGCATGGGACTGGCTGTGGCTCATCACCGAAAGACTGCACCAAACACACATCGCAAAAGGATTAGCCATCCCTCCCATCCCATCTTTAGACTCGAATAGAGAGACCAAACGGAGAGCATCGCTTCCCAGGATCTCTAACCCCTGTGAAACGACAAACACGGCCCTCATCTGCCAAGTGGAACAAGGTGATGGAATTTTACCATCGAGTTCTTTGAGAAATGGACGACAGACGTTCGCGAATAAATTACGGTAGGGAGAAGAAAGTTACGATGACCGATTTTGTGCGAATGTGTGGTACGCTTTGGGAATCCTCGTCGGAGGCAGAAATGAGATGGCAAGAGCCTCCGTGGCGGTCGCTGCGGATGTCTGCCGATATGCTGGAGATTTCGGCTCCGAACCTGTCAATCTGTAACCCCCTGCCCTAAGGTACTGTACGAGGACACATCTTTTCCCTTTTGCATTGCGGTCGGGTAGTATTCCTCCTGCGCGGCGGGCAGGATGCAGAGATTGATCGCCACGCTTCCAACATGCCAGGCAAGAACGAGGAGGACAAAGAACAGCTCCCATTGCGAATAAATCAAGCGCGTTTGCTTTCTTGCAATATGAATAGTCTTGTATTCTTGTATTCGGTCTATCTAAGAGTCCGACAGGAGGTATCATTGTTGAACAGATGCACATTTCTTTAAGTCTTTTCTTTCCCGTGATCCCCAGCGCCATTTGTTGAATAAATGTCACCGGAATGCCGCTTCCCTTTTTCCCACGTCCCACAATGAAAATCAGTTCTTTCTATAAGCGCCCTCCCAAATTCCAAATGTCGCGCTTGACGTGACCCTCAGCACACTTAGAACAGGCCGTCAATCTCGCCTGTCTCGGTGTCGACGTCGACGTTCAAGTAACCAGGAGCCGTAGGCAAACCAGGGATGGTCTGAATGTCTGCAGCGAGCGCGTATCTGTAATCGCGTCAGTAGTGCACTAATTCTAGTATGGATGGCTTGACTTACACATAACCTGCACCAGCAGCCAGTCTGACATCCCGGATAGGAACCGTGAAGCCAGTCGGGGCGCCCTTCAGGTCGGGGTCATGAGACAGGGAGTACTGCGTCTTGGCCACGCAGATAGGAAGATTTCCGAAGCCTTGCTTGGTATAGGTATCGACCTTCTTCTGAGCAAGCTCGCTGAACTCAACAGCAGCGGCGCCGTACATCTTTTGGCCGATGGTCTCGATGCGCTGCTGAACGGTTCCCTCGAGATCGTACAGAAGCTTGTAGTCCTTGGGCTTCTCACTGGCGGCAATGACACCCTTGCCCAGCTCAATGGCGCCCTTTCCACCCTCGGCCCAGTGGTTGGACAAGATGGCATCTTCAGCACCGGCGGCAATAGACTCCTCACGGATGACGGCAATTTCAGCGTCAGTGTCCGTGACGAACTTATTGATGGCAACAACAACAGGAATACCGTACTGCTTGGCATTCTGGATGTGCTTCTTCAAGTTCACGCAACCAGCGCGAAGAATGTCGACATTCTCCTCCTTGTAGACAGCGTTGAGAGCAGCACCTGGTGCGATAGGTGGACCACCGCCGTGAACCTTGAGGGCACGGACAGTAGCGACAATAACAACGACGTCAGGGACAAGTCCGGAGGCACGGCACTTCAGATTGAAGAAACGCTCTCCACCCATGGTGAAGTCGAAACCAGCCTCAGTGATGGCGAAACCAGCCTTCTCAGAATGGTCCTCGTCAGGCTCGGTACCAACAATCTTCAGGGCCATCTTGTCAGCCAAGATAGAGCTGTTGCCTACGCTGATGTTGGCAAAGGGACCGGCGTGCACAAACACAGGAGTGCCCTCCAAGGTCTGCATGAGGTTAGGCTTGAGGGCGTCTCTCATCAAAGCAGTGAGCGCGCCGCCAGCGCCGATATCGTCGCAGGTGACCGGGTCGCCGCTCCTGGAGCTCGCAATAACCATGCTGCCCAGGCGCTTGCGCATATCAGCCAGGTCGGTGCTGAGAGCAAGGATGGCCATGCACTCGCTGGCAACAGAGATATCGAAGCCGGTCTCACGAGTCTGACCCTTCTCAGTCGGCGCGGTGCCAACGGTGATGCCCCGCAAGTGACGATCGTTGACATCCAGAACACGTCTCCAAGTAATGGTCTCAGGGTCGATGTCAAGGCGGGCGAAACGGCGGATTTCCTCCTCGGTAAGGTCATCGGGGTTCGTCTTCTCGATGCCGAGCTTCTTGAGGCGGGGTAGCAGGACTGGCGGGAACACTCTTTTGCCGTTCTTGGCGGGTACAAGTCGCTTGTACAGAGGACCATCCTTCTGAGTGTTCTCGTGGAACATGCGTGTCTCGATCGCTGCTGCGAGGAGGTTGTTTGCTGCAGTGATGGCGTGGATGTCTCCAGTCAAGTGGAGGTTGAACTCATCCATGGGGATGACTTGGGCGTAACCACCGCCCGCGGCACCACCCTTAATACCAAAGGTAGGGCCCTGACTAGGCTGGCGAACGTTCGCAAAGGTGATGCGGCCAAGATGTGCGCCCAGGGCCTGTGCAATACCCATTGTCGTAGTAGATTTTCCCTCACCGAGAGGTGTAGGGGTGATGCCCGTAACGACAACGTACTTGCCGTTGCGACGGTGCTCCAGTCGCTTCAGGATGCTCAGGTCAATTTTCGCCTTGTAGGCTCCGTACGGCTCGATTTCATGAGATGCGATGCCGACCTCCTTGGCCAGACGAGTGATTTGCTTGGGGTTCTGAGCTCTGGAAACCTCAATGTCGGAGGGGACAGGCTCCTTGAGGTGCAGGGGGAGAGGAGAGATCGTTCTCTGCTTTTGTTTCTCAAACGACTTGAGCGTCGACTCGACAACGTTGGACAGAAGCATAGCGACGGTCATGGGACCAACACCACCCGGGACAGGAGTGATGTGAGAAGCAACCTGTGCGGCCGAATCGTAGTCGACGTCTCCGACGAGGCGCTGACCAGACTTCTTGGAGGCATCGGGGACATAGTTGGTGCCGACATCAATCACCACAACGCCAGGCTTGAGCCACTCGCCCTTGACGAAACCGGGCTGGCCAATGGCCGCAATAACGATGTCCGCCGCCTTGAGGTGCGCCTCCAAGTCCTGGCTCTTGGAGTGGCACACGGTGACAGTCGCATCGGCGTTGCGAAGAAGGTAGCTGACGGGGCTGCCCACGATATCACTGCGTCCAAGGACAACAGCGTTCTTACCCTTCAAGTCAACTCCGGCCTCCTTCAGTAGAACCATGACACCTTTGGGAGTGCAAGGGATGAAAAAGGGGCGGCCACCCTTCTTGGCGAGCTCGCCGATGTTCCTGGTGCCGAAGCCGTCGACATCCTTCTCGTCTGCAACGGCAGATGTGATGACATACTCATCGAGGTGCTTCGGGATGGGCAGCTGAACCAAGATGCCGTGGACGGCAGGGTCGTCGTTGAGACGGTAAATGCGATCCAGCAACTCGGGCTCGGAAATGGACTCGGGGAAGTTGACCAACTCGCAATCGACATTTGCCTGGCTATGTCAGTCACTGGCTCATATGCTTGATACCTCAGTGACATGTCTTACCTCCTTCGCAGCCTTCTGCTTCATGCGCACGTAGGTGCCTGCGGGGTTGTGAGCATCACGACAAATTGAATGGTGGGGTAAGGATGGATGCACGACATACTTGAGTCCGATCTGTCGCCGACTATAAAGCAGTCTTGTTAGCATTGCAAAGGTATGATGGGTTCCAAAAATGATGAAACATACCTTGGATAATGGTAAGCCGAGGCTGGAACCTAGGGTTCACCTTTT